AAGCTGGTGGGTTTCTTGACCTTAAGTTGTCTCTCCGTGCACAACTTGTTTTGGACTTGGCACTCATTGGCACTTCTTGTATCCCTCCTGTTTTTGTGCTATAGGAACATTGCCACAGTGACCGACTATCGAGAAATGTCCAATGGGTGTGTCACCTTCTCTCAGGATCTGTGTGATTGGGGTATCATTGTAAATCCAGTAACTGTTACAGGTTCTTGGATGACTGACATGTTTACACTTACTGCTTGTCCAAGCAACGCCCCCCCTGACAACACATTAAATCCCAGAGGTCCCTATTGTTATGGTTGTCCTCCGTAAAACAACCAATGCCATGGCAGTGTCAATGCTAGCCAGTGCCAGGTGATAGTATCCCTCCTCTCAATCAATCAGGGTGGAAGACATGTACACCACCCAGATCTCGACGATTGAGTTTTACTTTTGAAGTAGCTTTACCAGTAGCTAGTACATGTACTGGCCTACTATTATTATTATTAGTGCGCGAACCCAATCATCTCTTTCTCGTGGCGGTTTGACCAGCACAAGCACAACTCAATACATTACAGTACGGCAAACAGAAAAGTTCGAGTGGCAACAGCGATTGATATCGATGCCCCGCCGGCCGCGGGCTCCTGCTCCTTCGCGTTCGAGTTCGAGTTCTAGCTAAGCTAGCTGGCTAGCTAGATATAGCAGCGTTCAGTTGTCGATCAGAGCACCAATCTCACGTCTCCGGTACCACAATCGCTGTCTGCCATTCATTAGAAACTGGGGAGAACGCAGTTGGACCAACATTTTGCTAGAACGGGAAGACTCTATTCCGATCGACAAGTACGGTATACGGGTGTACGGGTACACTACTGGGGCCCGTTATTCTCCTCTTCTTGATCACTGCTCTGACTTGACTCTCACCATTTTTGAAGCACCCCACAACACCACTAGAAACTGATAAAGAAGAACTGAGATCTTAATTGTCGCGGAAGATCATGCACCAAGAAATCCTCCTCCAAATCATACGGTGTGACGGTGGCCACAAGAGTAGTGTAGTGTAGTGTCATTGTCAAGTCTGTTGCATACCGGTACTGGTACCGTAGCATAGATACCGTCCGCAGGATAAGTATCTGATGCTGTCATCTTGATTGGTTTCAAATAGCGGTGCCTGGAACCACCACCAAAAGGAAGAGGATCCGCTCTCCCTCAACCTCATCATGCACCAGGCACCATGAACTCAATTGCTGTGTGTGGGGTGGCAGCAGGAATTCCGTACCGTACTAGTAGACTACTCGAGTACCGTAGGAACAAGGCAGAAATGACTGTTGCCTTTTCTGGAGCAGCAACCCCATCTCGCTAAGTCCAAAGGAATTACGGATTTCCGCTACTGTTAATAAAATCAAGAAGGTCATCGTCTTCTTATACCGAACGTCCGGCGGCAAATGAATGTTCCAAAAAAAACAGAACATGTCATCTACCTGTACTACCTCTTATTAATACTCCAGAGTCATAGTGAGATAGTTTATTCATTCCATGGGGCTTCTCATTCAATCCTGAACGTCACTGTGGGTGTATCACACAAATAAGGCTGCATGGGGGTGAACTGGCAAGATGGAAGGTGGCGAACTTTGCGTGTGACTGCATCTACTTTGTGCGGCAAGCGGCAGGCAAGTGGATACCGGTAGATTCTTCCTAAATGAGTCGAGTCTACTACTAGTAGCTAGTTAGCAGCGCACTTCACAGCATTTATTTACGCGCAATCCCTACTGTAAATTTTGAACAATGTACCCTACCGTACCTATACTCCATAGTCAATATTGGTGCATTCTACATTATATCATTTTGAGCGGAAAGACAGAAACAGAAGAAAGATGTCTATTTGACCTGATGAGCTGTCAGCATTTATTTCGGTGAGTGATTGAGTCGAGTCATTCCCCAAAAGTTCAGGAGAACTTCAAAAAAAGACACTGTTGGCTTCAGGTGAGTCATGGATCTCGAGGACCTGGTACAGCCAACCCGAGATCTCGGGAAGGGAGATCGCTCCAGCCTCACTCAAACAGATCAACCCTGCCACCATAAGACGGGCAAGCCTATTTTCAAGTCTATCATTGAAGATATCCTCACTGAAATCATACCAGCTAGGGTAGGTTTCCTTTTTCTTGGCCCATGACAGTCAAGTTGGACAATTTGAAGGGCAAGGGTAAGACTTTATTTCTTACTTGTGTTCTAGCTAGCATCTTACTTTTGATTAGACTACAGAGGGAAAACCATCGTGAGTCAAGTACTTTTCGAACAATCGATCGCCCCGGATAGCAAGAAGAGGAGAGGCTGCTTCCGTCTTCCAGGCTGTTGTGCTGTGTGCTGGGAGGTTTCATTCTTGTTAGATCAAAACCTTTAAACCTTTCTGGTTACTCTATTAAATCTTTAGCATCAAACTTGAGAAAGTAAAGGCAACATGTAGCGGTAGGGGCAGGCTAGCAGGGTAACCAAAGCAAAACTGATACTGTACTAGCTGGCTACTAGAGTATACCGTAGTACGTCTTGGGTTGGATCTCGGAGAGTCTCGGGGAACAATCCAAAGAGATCGGGTTTCACGGGACTCACGACAGATCCCCCAAAGTTGTCTTCCGGAAATGCCAAATGAACCACGCTGACGGTCTTCCACCCTGGTGCGACCATCCTGCATCTTCTTAGTGACCTCTCACGTGTCAGGCGGCTTGATTTGATCGTGGCCTTTAAATCGCAAATAAATCACAACATCAGACGCCCTCTGATGCTAGCTAGTAGCAACTACTCCAGTACACTTCAAGATAGATGTTCGCGGTTCGCAAGTCTTTTGTCTATTAACTGGGCTGTAAGCGAGGCTATTGCAAGGGCCCGCGACCTGGCAGAATACTAGCTAGTACCTTTCTGATTTATTCTATATAAGCAATCATTTGTTGCCAGATATGGTATGACTACAGGTACTTTCTGATATCGTACTTCAAGCTGTTCGCAGAATGCGTCTTTTGATGCGTTGACAAATGCACCAGGTATTGTACCGTATTTGTACGTGCCAGTACCAGTGTTTAACCTCGGCAGTCTTGCTGCCAGAGCCCTCAACCCCTTTAATTGTTTTTCCTGCTACGGTGGTCCCTGCAGGTATAAGGGTAGGGTTAGAACACAAATAAGTCGGCAAAAACTAAATAAGTTCCTAGGATGGTGCTTTTAAACCAGCTAAAGCTATTTACATGCATCTTAGTTGGGGGATCTGCTTCTACCAGGAAAAACTCTAAAGCAAGTGAAAGCTATATAACTAGTATTCTAGCTAGCTAGGGTATCTGCTTCTAGCTTGCTATGGGAATCTGCTTCTAGCTAGGGGGAATCTGCTTCTAGCTAAAAAAAAACAACAAAATCTTTATAACGGATATGGCCCCAAAGGACGGATCATCACTGTGCTACAGCCGAAGCTTTGGGTAACCGCTCCCGGCCGAAGCGGGGATTGGTTTCACAGGAGACCACCACTGGTTCCCTCACCGGCACCACACTCCCTAGGAGAGATGGTGCATTTAAAGTTACATGTAAGTATAAATGGCATATCTCGTGTGGATTTGCCGGACATATATTCCTAACGGATTTGTGGGTTTGGCCAAATGGATTCAGGGAGAGTTACTAGGTGGGCACGGTGGAGGGAGAAAAGGAGGGACGGAAGCGGACGCAGGAGGGAATTGGAAGAATGGGAAGTGGAGATCCCGCGTCAATTACCCAGTCTCAAGCTGTGGGGCGTAACTCTCTTCAAGGACTGGTTTCCATGTGTTGATCCATTGCCGGATTGATGCTGTGGGCCATTGGGATCGTGTGTTAATTGGTGTTTGGAGAAGCCATACCTGTTCTGGTCTGAGGTTTCCGGTGTATTTGTCATATAGCAGCTGAAGTTCATGAATAGCCTGTCGGTTGGCTGCTTGTGCTTTGGTTTGTGCGTCTTTGCCATGTCGATCATGATTCCTGACCTCCCAGAGTTCGAACCACTGGGTGAGCAGTTGCCGGTTGGATTTGTTGTAGAGTTTGTCGAATTTCGGCGATAATGTCCCACTAAGCGGATAAGGTACTGTTTGGAAAGATCCTGTTGAATTTGGAGTATTTCACTATGACCTCAACCATTGATTTGTTATCACAGAAGCACCTATGTCTGTGGATTGGTGTGTCGGCGGAGTGAATTGTGGTCATGTGGTGGAGGAATTGAAAACCGGACAACATTCCGTAACCCTCGGCTCGGTACGAGTTCAGTTTGTAACCAAATGCCGGACCGTGACACTGAGCCAAGCGGGTACTACCTTGGAGGTCGCTGAGGATCCACCCAAAAGATCCCTTACCATCTGGAGCTGACCCATCACAGGCCAGAATGCAAGCTTTCGTAGCGAGAGCTGTCCAAACCTCAGTTTCAGGCACCAGAAAGTGTAAGTCCCGGAGTAGATGCTGTTCCCAGGCGTCCAAGGTAGGAATGAGTGTGGTGACTGATGTGTGTGTTTCTGGCTGCTGTTGCTGTATGACATTCTCATACCCCGTCATTTGAAATGTATAGGGTCTCACTTTGTAATCACACGGGGCTGCAGTTTCAGGTGGAGTGTTGATAAGGAAATCTGCTTCGAGCTAGCTAAGCACAAGTTAAGCACTAGCTAAGCACTAGAGGTATCTGCTTCTAGTTAGCAAGCTGACAGGGGTATCTGCTTGTACACTGAAACCTTTCTGCCGAGGTTACACAGCTCCGCTGGCTTAATCGAGTAACGGGGGGTTAGAGTATGGATTATCCACAGGTGAGTTCCTCGAGTACTTCTTCTTCTCACCACCACTCCGATAAGCGCCGCGATCTCAAAAAATTGACACCACAACAAAAAGTCGAGCCTTGGTGTTGGAAAGGACAGTGTCGTAGTGAAAAGTACCACAAGCAAGCATCGTCGCTACATCCACCAAACTGTAAAGCATACCAATCTCAAAGAATCAAAGTGACTCGGTTTAGAAGGACATACTGAGTAGAGATGAACGCGGTGGAGGAAGAAGAGATCGCTGTACTTGGTCCGGATTGTGATCCTCCAGATTCTCTCTTGAGGGATGCTCCTGCTGATCCTTTTCGATCGGAGTTGTTGCTATCCACACACACAAGGACCTTTTCAGCTGATTTTGATACTATGGAATTGACATCGATGGAAGATGGCGATAAAGCACCAGATAATCCGGACAGTGATGATGACAGTTTCATGGATGACCCTTTGAATGACCCAAGGGATACCAATGCAGGTGACATGAGTGAATCTCCCAGCAACTTTGATTTCTCCATCAACAGTGCTGATTTGGAACGAGATATCAGAAACAGTGCTATGCAGACCGTTGCTTTTGAGTATGTATACAGCAATGCCTACGACATTGTTTACAGCATCTGCACTTGGCCCAGGCTCCTCCTGAGCTATTGCTTTAATTTGTTTCGATTTGCCAGAAAGAAGGATGATGATGCTGATACACCAGTGCCACCCAAGGAGGATAATCGTGTTCAAAACATGTCAATTGCGGCTTCTCAATCTGCAGCCATTGGCGTAGGAGCAGCAGTCATGGCTGGTCAGTCGGCAGCGGCTGGAGGTGGGGCTTCCACAATGTCGGCTGCTGTCTCTTCTCTTTCAACACCTACTATGATTGGGCTTGCTGTGGCAGCCGCTATTGCAGTGGCTGCTACTACAGCTGGAGTAACCACAGGAAACAGCAATGGTAGCGAAAATAATGCTGCTCCTCGTCCTGGCGGCTGCAATGACAATACTGGATCCCTGGATGTCAAGCAAGGTATCGTGCAAATAGCCTTCTCTGACGGTGATCACATCGGTAACATTGATACTCCTTCCACAAGTGCATTGCTGCTAGAGAACAAGGAAGAATTGGAAACTGTTTTTTCTCAGGTTTACAACAACGTCACTGCCAATTCCACCAATACAGCAAACGGTCTGGTTGACCCATGTGATGTGCCCTACATTCCAGAGAATGGTGTCCAAATGATGCAGGTTGAGTCATCCCAAGAGGATAATTTTACCAATACCTTTTGGGTTTCTGATGTTCTTTGCAATGGATGCTCTGATACAGATCCACTTTTTGGCACCAACACAGATCCTGTTAGGGCTGTTGATGACTTTGTTGACCAGTTCACCCAGGCAATACAACCCATCCTCAAGACTGATGATCCAACACAAGACAACGTAGTGCCAGCACACCAAGCACCGCTAGAGTCACCATTTGATGTCCTGTTTGTGGCTTTCGTTGACCCTACCACAGGAAAGGTACTACCAGACCAAGCGCATCAGTTAGGACCTGGTGATCTGATTGAGCTATTGCCAAATATTGATGCCGTTTTGAATCATAACATGAATGATCGTGAAGAAGATCAACGAGAAGCTCCACAAGTGCTAACTCCGTCATCAACAACAGCTGTCGCTCCCGCAGCCACTGCAGTCAAAGCGTCAAACCCTACAGCCAACGCTGTAATAAACAACTCTGTACAGCAAGATGTAGCACCGAACTCTCCCGGAGTTGAGTTGGCACCAAACTATCCTGCAGCTGCAGTGCCCACAAATGCCAAAACCTCAGAGCCAAATCCCACTCAGGCACTAGCAAGTGATCCGACGCAGCAAGACCAAATATCCATTTCTCCTGTCCTAGCACCATCGGCTGTATCAAGTCCAAGTCCCAGTGATGCAAACAGCTTGCCTTCTTTTGTGATTGTCTCGCCCACTAAGGCAGCAACAAGACCATCATCAATAGTTAGTCCATCTGTTGCTTCTGGCCCAATGAGCTCTTTAATCAGAAATCCCACTATTAACACACTCCCACCGGCAGCAACGAGCCCATCACTTTCCACGGCCAACAGGGACCAAGGTCCAAGCAAAGATGGCCAACAGCAAGCCCCTCAGGCTACCAAGCAGAAAAGTTCATTACCTCCCATCACAGTGATGAAGAGTCCCAGTCCGTCCTTTGTAAGACCGGCACCACCACCAGATGATGGAAACAATGGTAACACCCAATCGATTGAAGGTCAACCAATGATGCCTTCTGGAGATGTCAGCATACCTGCTAGCAGCACAATGACGAGTCCTCCCATACAAGAAACTACCGCCATGCCTGCTGCCGCTCTTTCTGAAGCACCCAACATCCCGGTGCCTGTTGGTGGTTCTGAAACTGCTGAGTCCTATTCAGCTGTGCCATCCGAGAATACGATGGCTCCAACAGGAGACATGCTCTCCCCGGAGTCATGTGCTGGTTTGCAGATGTTTGCTGCACATTCATCACCGGTAGCTTGCAGCAATGTGAATGCAGGCGGTTATGGGGGAGCCTTTGCTATCGCATCCAAAATTGGCTCTTATCCAACTTCAATCCCTGCAACATCGTCCCCTACCCCTAAACCTACCTTTGAACCAACACCAGTTAGCCAACCAGATTTCTCCTCAGTGTTGTCCACAATGGGTTCTATGTACCCATCTGTAACCTCTGCAACAAATCTGCCTACCCCTGAACCTACCTTTGAACCAACTGATAGCCCAACCCTGTCACCAACAGCACAACCAACCGGCAACCCCACAAGTAGCCTTAGAAATGAACTGACAACATCGCCTACTGAAACTCCCACCACAAGCCCAACAATGGAACCTACAAGTCTCCCAACCAGCATTCCAGTGCAGGAGGACTATTACATTTCATTCAGTGGCCCCACCACTGGTTGGGCAGACCAAGAAATGACCGATGCGTTCGTAGAGGCATACAACTCCCTGGCTGGTTCTGGTTCTACGATCGAGGCCATCGAGGCTGGTCAGGCAGTTCCCATACCTGGCGTTGGTTTCTACCTGGAATTCACGGTCACCTCCAGCCCGAGGCCTTGGACGAAGACTCACATCGTCTGAGGCTGAGTTCCTTGAGCAGTACAACGATGAGATCCAAGGAATCGATCTGTTGCCTTGTCTTTGAGTACAGAGTCCCCAAGCGGCCCATCAGTGCAGGAGGACTATTACATTTCATTCAGTGGCCCCACCACCGGCTGGGCAGACCAAGAAATGACCGATGCGTTCGTAGAGGCATACAACTCCCTGGCTGTTCTGGTTCTACCATCGAGGCCATCGAGGCTGGTCAGGCAGTTCCCATACCTGGCGTTGGTTTCTACCTGGAATTCACAGTCACCTCCAGCCCCGAGGCCTTGGACGAAGACCTCACATCGTCGAAGGCGAGTTCCTTAGCAGTCAACGATGATCCGGAATCGATCCTGTTGCCTTGTCTTTGAGTACAGAGGCCCAAGCGGCCCATCAGTGCAGGAGGACTATTACATTTCATTCAGTGGCCCCACCACCGGTTGGGCAGACCAAGAAATGACCGATGCGTTCGTAGAGGCATACAACTCCCTGGCTGGTTCTGGTTCTACCATCGAGGCCATTGAGGCTGGTCAGGCAGTTTCCATACTTGCGATGGTGGTTTCTACCTGGAATTCACGGTCGCCTCCAGCCCCGAGGCCTTGGACGAAGACCTCACATCGTCTGAGGCCGAGTTCCTTGAGCAGTACAACGATGAGATCCAAGGAATCGATCCTGTTGCCTTGTCTTTGAGTACAGAGTCCCCAAGCGGCCCATCAGTGCAGGAGGACTATTACATTTCATTCAGTGGCCCCACCACCGGTTGGGCAGACCAAGAAATGACCGATGCGTTCGTAGAGGCATACAACTCCCTGGCTGGATCTGGTTCTACCATCGAGGCCATCGAGGCTGGTCAGGCAGTTCCCATACCTGGCGTTGGTTTCTACCTGGAATTCACGGTTGCCTCCAGCCCCGAGGCCTTGGACGAAGACCTCCATCGTCCGAGGCCGAGTTCTTGAGCAGTACAACGATGAGATCCAAGGAATCGATCTGTTGCCTTGCTTTGAGTACAGAGCCCCAAGCGGCCCATCAGTGCAGGAGGACTATTACATTTCATTCAGTGGCCCCACCACCGGTTGGGCAGACCAAGAAATGACCGATGCGTTCGTAGAGGCATACAACTCCCTGGCTGGTTCTGGTTCTACATCGAGGCCATCGAGGCTGGTCAGGCAGTTCCCATACCTGGCGTTGGTTTCTACCTGGAATTCACGGTCACCTCCAGCCCGAGGCTTGGACGAAGACCTCACATCGTCTGAGGCTGAGTTCCTTGAGCAGTACAACGATGAGATCCAAGGAATCGATCCTGTTGCCTTGTCTTTGAGTACGAGTCCCAGCGGCCCATCAGTGCAGAGGACTATTACATTTCATTCAGTGGCCCCACCACCGGTTGGGCGACCAAGAAATGACCGATGCGTTCGTAGAGGCATACAACTCCTGGCTGGTTCTGGTTCTACCATCGAGGCCATCGAGGCGTCAGGCAGTTCCCATACCTGGCGTTGGTTTCTACCTGAATTCACGGTACCTCCAGCCCGAGGCCTTGGACGAAGACTACATCGTCGAGGCCGAGTTCCTTGCAGTACAACGATGAGATCAAGGAATCGATCCTGTTGCCTTGTCTTTGAGTACAGAGGCCCCAAGCGGCCCACAGTGCAGGAGGACTATTACATTTCATTCAGTGGCCCCACCACCGGTTGGGCAGACCAAGAAATGACCGATGCGTTCGTAGAGGATACAACTCCCTGGCTGGTTCTGTTCTACCATCGAGGCCATCGAGGCTGGTCAGGCGTTCCCATACCTGGCGTTTGTTTCTACCTGGAATTCACGGTTCCTCCAGCCGAGGCCTTGGACGAAGACTCACATCGTCGAGGCGAGTTCCTTGGGCAGTTCAAGGAGATCCAAGGAATTGATCTGTTGCCTTGTCTTTGAGTACGAGTCCCCAAGCGCCCATCAGTGCAGGAGGACTATTACATTTCATTCATGGCCCACCACCGGTTGGGCAGACCAAGAAATGACCGATGCGTCGTAGAGGCATACAACTCCCTGGCTGGTTCTGGTTCTACGATCGAGGCCATCGAGGCTGGTCAGGCAGTTCCCATACCTGGCGTTGGTTTCTACCTGGAATTCACGGTACCTCCAGCCCGAGGCCTTGGACGAAGACTCACATCGTCTGAGGCTGAGTTCCTTGAGCAGTACAACGATGAGATCCAAGAATCGATCCTGTTGCCTTGTCTTTGAGTACGAGTCCCAAGCGCCCATCAGTGCAGAGGACTATTTACATTTCTTCAGTTGCCCACCACGGTTGGCAGACCAAGAATGACGATGCGTTCGTAGAGGCATACAACTCCCTGGCTGGTTCTGGTTCTACCATCGAGGCCATCGAGGCTGGTCAGGCAGTTCCTACCTGGCGTTTGTTTCTACCTGGAATTCACGGTACCTCCAGCCGAGGCCTTGGACGAAGCCTCACATCGTCTGAGGCTGAGTTCCTTGAGCAGTACAACGATGAGATCAAGGAATCGATCCTGTTGCCTTGTCTTTGAGTACAGAGCCCCAAGCGGCCCATCAGTGCAGGAGGACTATTACATTTCATTCAGTGGCCCCACCACCGGTTGGGCAGACCAAGAAATGACTGATGCGTTCGTAGAGGCATACAACTCCCTGGCTGGTTCTGGTTCTACCATCGAGGCCATCGAGGCTGGTCAGGCAGTTCCCATACCTGGCGTTGGTTTCTACCTGGAATTCACGGTCACCTCCAGCCCCGAGGCCTTGGACGAAGACCTCACATCGTCCGAGGCTGAGTTCCTTGAGCAGTACAACGATGAGATCCAAGGAATCGATCCTGTTGCCTTGTCTTTGAGTACAGAGTCCCCAAGCGGCCCATCAGTGCAGGAGGACTATTACATTTCATTCAGTGGCCCCACCACTGATTGGTCTGAGCAAATAATGTCTTATGCCTTTGTGGAATCGTACAACTCAATTGCAGGCTCTCTGTCATCAATTGAAAGCATACTGGTGGGGGAACCTGTTCTCTCTTCTGGTGGTAGATTCTATGTGGAATTCACTGTGACCTCCAGTCCTGATGCCTTGGATGAAGAACTTACCGCCTCTGTAGGAGATTTTTTGCAGCGGTTCAATATGGAGATCAATACTGAGGCTATTGCTGAGTCTTTATCCTTTTCTTCATCCTTGGACCATCAGATTCGTCAATCACCATCTGCAGTCCCCAGTGTGCAACCTAGCACTTTGCCAAGTGCCAGTCCCAGCAACAGCCAGGCTCCATCAACTTCCCCAAGTTCCCAACCAAGCATGTTGCCAAGTTCCAGTCCCAGTGTGGCTCCTTCATCAAACCCATCATCATGGCCATCCAAAATCCCAAGTTCGGGTCCATCCACAAAGCCCTCAGCATCTTCTGCTCCCTCATCAAGCCCATCATCATTGCCATCTTTGAATCCAAGCTCTGTTCCATCCTCCGTGCCGTCTCATTCTGCCACACCATCTAAATTTCCCAGTACTGGCCCATCCATCGTGCCATCCGGTTCTCCATCATCAAGTCCATCATTATCATTGCAACCATCTGTTCGTCCATCAGATGCTCCATCTTCAAATCCTAGTCTTCGTCCATCAAATGTGCCTTCTACAAACCCGAGCTCCAGTCCTTCCGGTTTTCCATCCGCAAATCCTAGTGTTGTTCCCTCTTATGTGCCTTCCACAAGCCCAAGCAACAATCCATCAATTTATCCTTCCCAAATCCCAACTGGCTCTCCATCATTTGAACCTTCAGCAATCCCGAGCATCAGTCCTTCTGGTGTCCCATCCTCAAGTCCTAGCATTGCCCCATCCAATTTTCCCTCCAACAGCCCAAGTTTAAGTCCCACATCTGTGCCTTCCGTAGTGCCATCATCTATGCCAACAACCTCTCCATCTAAGTCACCTACACCACAGCCAACCAATCAACCAACACCACAGCCTACCAATCAACCAACACCAGCACCTACCAAAGCCCCCACTACACCCCCAACTAAGGTGCCCACCAACTCTCCAAGCAAAGCTCCGTCTGAGGCACCTTCACAGTCACCGACCACAGCTGTGGCACCTTCTCAGTCGCCCACCACGGCTCCCACAAATCTACCATCAACTGTCCCTTCTGCTACTCCAACCGCCACCATAGCTCCCACAACTGTTCCAACACCTGTCCCTTCAGCCGCTCCTTCAAGTTATGGTAAGGTATTTGACACGGCTATGACCCATTTTAGTGCGTTTCATGTAGCTCACAGTCACCGACCACAGCTGTGGCACCTTCTCAGTCACCCACCACGGCTCCCACAAATCTACCATCAACTGTCCCTTCTGCTACTCCAACTGCCACCATAGCTCCCACAACTGTTCCAACACCTGTCCCTTCAGCTGCTCCAACAAGTTATGGTAAGGTGTTTGACACGGCCGTGAACCATTTTAGTGTTTTTCGTGTAGCTCACGGGTGGTCTTCATTGGTCTGTTGCAACTGAAGCATTTGGAGACAAAAATTCCTTGATTGCAGCTCTAGAATCTAATGACTACTCACCCACAGGTCCCTATGGTAAGGAATTTTGTCCGGCAATGTGAACTCCTTATCATTGTCGTCTTTGCCCAAACAAATTTGTTTTTGTTTTTTTACACCATCACAAATAGGCCCCATAGGGACATGGAATGTGCAAGCAGTTAGTAACTTTGGTATGTGCACCAAAAAAACGCTGAGATTCCTTATTGTGCTTGGAGCTCATGTTGGCACTGCTTCTCACACTTTCTGGTGACTCACACTACACTAACTGTGGACTTGCTGTGCTATCAGACTCCTTGATCGCTGGTCTATCTCATGTGTCAACATTCAATGGTTATGTCGGAGGTTGGGATGTTAGTGGTGTAACTTCCATGAACTCAATCTTTGCTGGTAAGTAAGGTAATTCTGCCCATCCCTTCTGTGAAGCCTTGCATGCTAACTCTATTGTTTCATAAAAGGTGCTGCAAAATTCAATGTGTATCTAAACAATTGGGATGTTTCAAGGGTGCAGAACTTGTTTGGTGCCTTTGAAGGTTGCAAAAGATATGACAGGAGTTTGAATAGTTGGGGTAGGTAAACAGGTAAACCTGTGACACATGACAACAATATCATTTGGAAATTGAATCTGAACCTTTTTTAATCTTCTTCAATGGCTATCAATCAAAGACACAAGCAAAGTCACGAATATGGTAAGTACCTTTCCGTTTCAACATCATCGATGCAATGGTTACACTTGTTGGCGAATGGAGACCTGCACAGTCTGTATACTCTCTCTTATATTTATTATCCATATATTTTAAAAAAGAGAGACACCTTCTGGAAGGCATCTAAGTTCAACGGTAACGTTGGTACTTGGGGTATGTCAATGTATATGTAATTTGGTGGATGAAACTGTGTCAGTTGTTGTGTTTCTGATTCATTTCCCCCTTTCCGTTTTTGTTGCCGCATTAGATACAAGTAGAGTCACGAACATGCAGGCCATTTTTGCTGAATGCACAAGATTTAATCGTGACATCAGTGGTTGGAGTAAGTTCATCTCTTGGTTGGATTCGATTTCCCAAGAGACTTGCCCTTATGGTTTCTTTGTCCAATTCAACATGGCAGATGTCGGGAAAGTGAGACAATTGAGGAAAGCCTTTCAAGGGACCGCTTTCAACATTGACATATCCAGCTGGTGGGTGGCTTGATGTCTCTTGATGGATCCCAAACTGTTATGACGACAGACTCATTGGAATTTCTTTCCTCCTCTTGTTCTGCAGGGATGTCTCCGCTGTAGGGTCTATTAGCAACACGTTCGAAAACGCTGCTTCCTTCAACCAGGATCTGTGTGCTTGGGGTACCAAGGTACCCACAGCCAGTTTCTCTGCGGGTTCCTCATTTACGGGTACTGCATGTCCAAATACAGGGTCTCCCGACATCAATGCGGTTCCTGTAGGTCCCTTCTGTCATAGTTGTCCATAAAACATCTGATGACTTTGAGAGTGGTTGCTTCCTGGCACCATGGCGGCTTGTTGGCGAGTCATGTACAGTAGACTCGACTCGGAGAGAGTTGTCAGTGTCAGCGGAAGAGTGGCGGCAGCGCTCTCACCCTCCCGACAAGTTCCTCACGAAATCTGATGGGAAGCTCGTACAACCAAGAGCAATGTCGGCGTCTGAAACCAAGGGAATTCCAAAGGGATGCACTCATGACCGTTACGTTAGGGATTGGATCATTCGAGGTATTGGTGTTCTCTCATGCTTGTGAATGGCGGCGGATCGCTCGCGACCCTCCGAGTTGATCTTACTGGGGAGTCCGGGTTGGATCTACAACGTCATCTTGCGCGGCCATGCGGAGATCGTCGAGGATTTTACATGCGAAAGCTACTAGCTAGCACAGAAGGCATGAGTTGTGGGTATCCTTGTGCTGCTGCTCTACTAGAACTGAGATAATTGATCGGTTTTTAAAATACACAAATCATGAAGACTCACTCGACTGAGACTCGCTCGACTCGACTAGACTCGACTCCTGCGGAGGAGTCTTTTGAGAAACCCACTTTTCCCCACTGTAGAAGAGCCGAACCCAGCAAGCATGGATCTACAGATAAGTCAGCGGGAGCTGCGATACCTCGGCAGAAAGACAGATAGAAGAAGGAGGATCATGTTCCGATTGCACCCATCTTTCAAGCTAGCCCTGGCGACAACACCCGACTACGTCGTGTGTTGCCGCCCGGTATCATTCATTCCCTCATTGCAACCTTCTTTATTAAGCTAGTCCTGGCGACAACACCCGACTACGTCGTGTGTTGCCGCCCGCTACTCTATAATTTACCAGCTGCCATTCCCTTATTGTAACTCTAACCTTTACAACTCCTGCTGGCTTATTGTGCTGTTGTGCTGATTGCACTAACCTTAAATATTAATGATTTATTCCTACCCCTAACTTGTATTGAACCATCAATGTTCAGTTTTGTTGGCTTATGACTATCTCTATCCTTATACTTTGGCTTCACCGGAATAGGAAATAGGAAATAGGAAATAGGAAATAGGAAATAGGAAATAGAAAATAGGAAATAGGAAATAGGAAATAGGAAATAGGAAATAGAAAATAGGAAATAGGAAATAGGAAATAGCATTAAAGGGGTTGAGAACTCAGGCAGTTTACCTGCCGAGGTAAAGGGGTTGAGAACTCAGGCAGTTAGACTGCCGAGGTTAAAGGGGTTGAGAACTCAGAGCAGTCACTAAAAATATAGGTCGCACTATTGGTCGTTCCCAAATAGATACCTATCTGGTCGACCCAAACGGCGACCTTTTTCATTCACTAAAATTGGGTCGCCATATCGGTCGACTGATACCTAATTGACCAATTCAATCACTAAAATTTCGGTTGCAACATAGGTCGCGAAACGGTCGTTCGTTCCGTGGAAACTTTCGCTCGAGCTCATTTCGCTCACTCATCAGTGTGCTTTATTGATTGCTTTGGTTGCTTTGGTTGCTTTGGTTGTTTGGTTTGACAATGAAGACTGCAGGAGTAAGGGAAAGGGAGATGGCTTTGTGGAGAAGCACAACAAGCCGCAGCAGACATCAGGAAGAAGCGTCAAGATGATCTGCCGCATCAGTCAAGTCATCATCTGATGAAGAAGAAGAAGTAGAGGCAGTTTCTACACCTGCCAAGAGTACAGGAGCCATAGCAAGAAGCGTGGCAAGGATTTTGACGAGGAAGAGGAGTCGGATGACGATTCTGACGAAGATGATGACGACGATGACGACGAAGATGACGATGACGACGTCCCCTTGAAGAAGATTGCTGCCGCCAAGGCTGCGCCAAGAAGCCCACTGGCAAGCCTCCATTGCCTCCAAGGAAGAGGACCAAAAAGGGGGATGCTGTGAAAGCTCCTGAGCTCGTACCAGTCAAGAAGGAGACTCTCAATGCGGCCAACCTCAAATGGACTGAAGAAGAGGATTCCATTTTGGCCCGGGCCTTCCGCAAAACCACAACAAACCTTGTCAAAGGTGCCAAAGAAAAAGGAGATGTGTTTTGGGGGAATTTGTGTTTGAACTACAATGCAATCCGACAGGAAGAAGATTCAAGCCAAGAAGCGTGCTGTCTCTCAGGCCTATTCGTTTGCCAAGACCTTGAAAGATTTTGGCCGTATGGATGAAGCGAACCAGAAATTGGACGAGGCCATGATTTTGGAAGCGACTCCACTTGAACACTTTCTTATGAATTGTGCCCCAACCACTGTTACTGCTGCAGGAACTGCCACCGTTGCTAGTGGATTGACCAGCAACCGTGCTTCCCCTGTCCCTGCTGGAGCTGGTATCACCCATCCACCTGATGTTAGTGGCATCCAGTCTCCCAACAATATCAACGATGAAGCTGGTGTCTAGTTTGTCAACAGAACCTAGAGAATTAACAAATATTTTAGTTATTAGGTTTGAAAAAAATAATTGCTGGTCACAGATCGCCTCCAAAACAATCGTTGGCTTCCCTTTGGCTCCCAAATAGCTACCCTGCCATCCAACAGGGCAATTCTTCCAAATCGTGTGCATGCAATCAAGAGAACCAAACATTCCGTCAATTCCATGGGTTGCTTTGTGGCATTGCGAGCCCAAGATAATCCGACATGATGCACTCCTTCGCCCTGGCATGATCGTACTTCTTCCTTTCTCGTCTTGGCAGCGTACGGTGATCAATGAACTCTCCAGGACCATCAACAGAGCTATCAAATAGAAGTCTACGACGACTTGATCGTCATGGCTCGCCTAGTTGCCCAGAGGTGAGTTCGTCCAATCCTCTTCCTCTTTCACGAGCTCTTTGAGCTGCTAGGCTCATTGCTACTTCTTCATGGGATATCCTTGTTGGAGGTATTGCTATTGTATCCTGTTGCTATGCCTGTTGCTATGCCTGTTGATGAGGCTTTTGTGTGTTGATGTGGCTACAACCAAAAACAGCGACCTGGTCGATCCACTGGTCGCAAAGTGACCTTGAATCGACCAGTGGAACGACCGGTCGATTTCGGTCGCAACCTAAACCTCGACCGAAATGAGTTAGTGACTGAATAGGTTTCGATTTGGGTTCCAGCTAAAAACCAATCGACCAATATTGGGTGCGACCTATTTTTTAGTGACTGCTCTCAGGCAGTTTACCTGCTGAGGTAAAGAGCACTGAATGGTGAACGCTGAACTGCACCAATACCAATAGCCAGCGAACTCTATGCTCGCTAGCTACATGTATTGCTCTGAAAGAGCCACGCACTGGCTAGTAGGCACAGAGCCAAACTTGATTTGTGCTGCTCTGCAATTTCTTTCCCCCACTGTAGACGACTGGAAGAACACAGTCCAAGCAAGCATGGATCTACAGTAAAGAGCACGGAATCTGTGAATGCTGAATATCAATACCGGTACTGGTACGGTAGCCAGCGACCTAGCTAGCCAGTGGCAATGAAAGAGCCATGTAGAGCCGAGCTCTTGTGGCTGCTGCTCTGTAGTTCGCCTCGACGGAAGGTCCTATTCCCTTCCAGCCACTAAGGATTCGATTCGATGCCTTCATTCGTCTGTACTCGTCGAAGCGTCATTGGACCAGAACCGTGGCAAGCATGCCTTCTGGAGGCAGCTGATCCCGTACGATATGACATAGCACTAGCTAGAATCTAGCTATATATATAGAATCCTCCTTACGCCGATGGAGCGAGAAGCGGTTGGACACTGGGATGAGTTGTACTGTGAATGTCATAGCGAGAGGACCACCTCGCGCTTGTTCCGAATAGAATCTTACCAGGGGCGACCCAGAGGTGTCGTCTACAGCAGGAAGAACAGGAACGAAACCGCGTCTTTGCACTGTCTTGCTTTGCACACTTTGGTCCGGTATACCGCCTTGTCTGTTTTAGTGCTTCTCCCGTGGAGACGTTCCAAGGGGTCAACCTTTGCATGCTACCGGTACGATATTGTTGCCATGTACGTGCTCACAATTCCAAACATCAGCAAAACATCAGCAAAACATCAGCAAAACATCAAAGGAAACGTTTGCACCTGCCGGCAAAATGATTGTATTGAAAAAGTTCTTCACTAGGCAGGGCTTGTTGAAGACCAAGGCGGGCAACTTGAATGATGATGGAAAGGACGAGGATTGCAGCCAGGATACTAATAGCCACGACAATGAAAGTAGAAAGGAGAAGGGGAAAAGACGCAAAAGAAAACCAAAGGCCAAACCCACCAGACTCAGCAGTGAAAGAACCCTCAACTCCAGCGCATCCAATGAAGAAACTGCACAGTGCAGTGGCACTCTGAACGAACAAATCATTGAGAAATATGTTGCCGCGGTAAATGCTCACTCGCCTGCAGATGATTTGATAGCGTTCTATGCCAGCGATAAAGTTCAGGTCAAGTTTGATGACATGGCTCCTATCACTGCAAGAGCCTTGCAGACAGAGATTGTGAGTCTCACAAAAAGTTTCAAGGATTTCCGCTTCAACTATGACAGCATCAAGGAAGTGGAACCTGGCAAAGTCATGGTGGAGGACCTGTGCGTCACGGGCACTCATAATGGGCAGCCTTACAAGTTTGCTGTGTATCCACCAATTACTGCCACAGGAAAGCATGTAGTGTTGGACCCAGAAAGAATTTGGTACACAATGAAGGATGGGAAGATTGTCCATGAAGTTGTCACTGCTCTTGGACTTTTGACGGGCCCTGCCGGTTTCTACCTTGCCATCGGAGGAAAACTGGGATAGACACCATAACGTTATCCTCGCCAATATGTTCCTTTGTATAGTCCTCCACGCTAGAATCCATCCTTCCTTCACAACCTCAAGCTCGGCGAGTCAGGAGGAAACAACACCATGCCCCGTATATGCTGACCACATATGGCCGCCACATTCCCTCCTTCCGTGGCTTTGTCGGTTATAGATTTATAATTTTTGAAAGGCTAAAGTCATTCTCCAACCACTCTTGAGTATTAGTTAGTGTTTCGTTTGGGCTAGCTAGCTAGACACTAGCTACCGGTACCGGTGCCGGTGCCGCGGTGCCGATAGCTGTGGCGCAGGGGTGGAGTTGTTCGGTACTCCTACAATTCGAAACCTGGGAGGAGAGACATCATTTCACTAATGGTACCAACGCAAGTCTGATAGGTAATCCTTCCTGACCTTGATATGCTGCTGTACTGACATTTGCTATGCTGAGTAAGAAAGAACGGACTGTTGAAATACATGTAGCAGAGCAATGCAAGAACATTCTTATAAGCGAGTTTGGTGTGCAGCAGTGGGGAGTGTCAACCGTGCCGTACGGTATGTCTCTACGGGTATGCATAGATCGTAGATAGGCTGTGTGCCTTAGAGATTGGAGAAACCTTCTGCCAGTGAGAATTTGCTAGTTACCTGGTAGTCGAGTCAAGCATAAAGAAGAGAAGAGAAGGCAAAATCTGAGATCAAGGAATTTCGGATTTAGTCCGCAGTCACTGCGTTAATGCTCTTGGTTTTTCGCGGTGGAAGGGTCATTACAGAGCTTTAACGATGGGTCTAAATATTTAATGTGCGAAGAGCAGAAGACAGAGAAAAGGTCATTGCAGAGAGTTAGCGACGAGTCGAACTATTTAATGTACTCCTGCTCCGACGTGGATGGGTCATTAAGAGCTTTAAGGACAGGTCCAAATATTTAATAGCCGGTCTGCCCCACCTTTGAAATGGGTGCCAGTGAGGGAGTCTTCAGAAACCACGGAGGCATACCCAAGTGTGTGCCTTGTGCCTTGACCAGGGCGGTGAAGCGCCGGGTTTTGGTTTAAAGCATCGTTTATGTCGGCGCTGTTATGGCCAATGGGATGCTTGCGACCCTCACACAAAGGGTTTAGCGTCGAGGACAGAGGACTCGAGTGTTTTGTGTGAATGGGACGTACGTTGTCAGTTTTTGAGCTGTTCACGACTCTCCAAGTTGCAGCCGGGAGAATCAAAATGCTTCAGCATTGTCTGGTGGGTCGATAGATTGTGTATCTGTACAATATTTTGAAAGCTGCTACCGTATGGAAAGAACTAGATCGGGTGGGTTGATCTACTCGGGAGAACTTTGTGCCAGTTTATTCGTGCTATTTTAGAAGAATGGTACCATATACAGAAAGAAGACAGCCGTAACACGCGCAGAGATGTGGGGTCTGCTAGCTACTATACTATACCGGTAGCTACTAGCCTATAGGAACAACTCATCTACTTCAGTCCGAGCCCAGGCGAATCAATCCAACCATCCACCCAGCTCCTCACGCAGTAACGCTGCCGTGGCTGGGAGGTGAATGATTGTGCCTGCTCGAGAGATGCGAAAGATTTGCAAGCTGGGAACGCCATTGGCTTGACAATGCCAATAGCCGTTGCACCAACGCAGGTCGCTCTTGCTTCGCTTCCAGCTCCTCTTCGGTTCTCATCGCTTGGATGGTATCCATATCAAATGCATGCAGCCACGTCTTTTGCCTGCACCTGCAGTTTCCAAATCCAGGCTGTTGCTGCTAAGGAAGATAGATGAGCAGCTGGAGCAAGCGTGATGCATTCGAAACTTCCCCCATTGTTGGCTCGCATCTGCCATGGTTGGTTCTCTTCTTAGCCAACCTCCATGAACATCAAGGACTGCCATGGCCGACTCTGTTCAGTCAAAACAGGGAACTTGAAGCAGCCAGCTTTGAAGTACAAGGCTTCAAGTGCATTCGCATGGTTGCTTCTACACGTACCTGTGTATATATTGCCTTGCTCTATAGAGTTTCTACTCGCTGGAGTGGCCAGCTGCCTCGCCCCATCTGTTTTGGAACCCAAAGTGAAACGACCCGCCAATGCTGGTATTCTCTTTGTCCTTTTGGACTTCTCATAACCTCAACAGGCTAAAAAGTGCCAATGCTGCAAACGCACAACCTGCATCGCTCCTCGCTTTTGGAACTGTAGGTGTGAGTGGCCACAAGAAGCAAACACACACCCAGTTCCAAGTCTTGTGCACCCACGGCAACCGGTAACTGTTGAAGAACACAATCGTTCGCAATTTGTATCACTTTCACCGTGCCGGCTGCTGGTGGCCCTTTGCAAGCAACAGCCAGTAGAAAGAGCTGTACCTGGGTCTGTAGGAAGAACCTCCATGCTAACGAGGCTCCGGTCCCCGCGTGTTCTCGAGAGAATCACATCACCCGAAGAGAGTTTGGCCGCAGGCCCATCCAAGCCCTTTTTGTTGCTCATAGTGGTTGGCACGTAGGTGAGTACTGTACCAGGGCTTCCCATACGGTGGACTTCGTACAGTTCTCAAAACAACGGCGAACGGCGAAACGCGGCATCACTGAAGATTCATTCTGATGATTTATTTGATGTCTTATTTGATTGATTGATCCTTCTGGATTTTGGATTTCAATTCTTACTGAATCATTTTCCGTTCTCTCTGGAATGCTATTGACCACTGTTAAATCATACCTTGCACTAAGACACAACGTATGGGCCTCAAAGAATCCCCGGAGTTTCCGTATGCTTTATGGGAACACCAATGACAACACCAGAACTTCCCCAAGTCAATTAACTGCACACAATGATGCTTCTACAGAATAGTCGAGTCGAGTCTCGCTGTCTCGCTATAGGTCGCTACTAGTAGAAGAGTTCTTGCTGCCCTATCGTGGCTGGTACCAATGTAATATGTGAGAGAGATCTTAGTATTTTTATATTGTGTGTAATCGGATTGTGAGGGTATCAAAAGGAGTTGCCCTGCTACTAGTTAAAACCATGGAGATAAGCAGGTAGCGAGAGTTGTAGCCATCACGGAGCAACATGCAGGTTTCAGTCATGCGTGGCTCAGTCATGAGTGGTTCAGTCATGACTGGTTGAGTCGTGCTAGTCGCGAGATACTACACTCTGCCCCACCAAGGTGTAAGTCCATTGGAGGAACAGCTTGCACTGGCGTATAGCCTTGGTTCAGTGGACGAGTCGTCCAAAGTTGAGAGGAAACCAGGTGGACAAAAACCTCTCAAGTACGGTATGGTTTGATGCGGCGAATGTTGATTCGTTCCGTTACATTGTTATCTAGTTGGATAACGACCGGGCCATTTGTATGGATACGGGTGATTGTGTAGGGCCCATGTGCCCTAAGTTCCATTGCTTTGGGATTATCAGACAGCTTCAGGACTGGTTGACCTGGCTGGTAGTCAAAGTCAATGCGCTTAGCATTGGCACGTAGGAGATTGCGGTCAATCAATGCTTGACGTCGTTGACGCAAAAGCTCAAAGTCCACAATGAGAGGAATGTTGAGAATCATGTCTCTATGGAAGGCCATTGAGCCTGGAGATAGTTTCATTGTGGTATGCATGGCAGTGCGTGCTGCAGATGCTGCTGTCTGCAGTGCAGAGTCGATTCGCTCAGCTGCTTCTGCAGCATTCTTTGGAGGATAGTTGTCATGGTTGATTGCTCTGAGAGCATTGCCAATAGACTGATGGAGACGTTCACATACAGCATTGGACTGTGGGTTCTTGACTGTTGAGCCACCAGGGTGAAGCCCGTGGCGTCTCAAGACTTTTTGAAAGTCTTCTCCCAAGAACTCGCCGCCTTGGTCATAGACACAGCGTTCTGGTTTGGGATAACGGGATAACCATTGGTTTTCCAACTGCATGCCAACATGTATAACAGTGCCCTATCGTGGCTGGTACCAATGTAATATGTGAGAGAGATCTTAGTATTTTTATATTGTGTGTAATCGGATTGTGAGGGTATCAAAAGGAGTTGCCCTGCTACTAGTTAAAACCATGGAGATAAGCAGGTAGCGAGAGTTGTAGCCATCACGGAGCAACATGCAGGTTTCAGTCATGCGTGGCTCAGTCATGAGTGGTTCAGTCATGACTGGTTGAGTCGTGCTAGTCGCGAGATACTACACTACTTGCTACTTGCTACTCTGGAGGAGAAGTACAGCTAGAAGTACTACGGTAAAGGTATCTCGCAACTATGCATAGGACCTGGTTGAGAGCGAAACCCAGCATGAGAGCACACAACCCGGCAACAGGTGAAACGCCAGATACAGGAGTCTTATGGATGAGAAGTCAATTTCAATGAGATTGTTCGCGTTGCTCGTCATTGTTCCCAGTGAAGGAGGGAGATATCAATCCGAAGAGTTCCCATGGGGTTTGTCATTGTGTGACAAGATTTCTGCTTCAATTGCCAGCCATTGCTTTGTTGCAGCAGCTGCCAACCAACTCTCACAATTTCAAATTCTTGCCGATCGAATTGCAGGACAGTAGGCAGCCCTTTTCACGTCTTTCGCACCCTTTCTCAAACTCTTCTATAAAAGCAAAGCAAACACCATGACCCATTTTCTTCCCCTCGACGACAACATAGACATGCCAACATTCTTCATGGCCACTCCCTCCTGTCCCTCCTCTTCTGAGCTTTCCAGTCCTCCTCCTCTCGTGTGTACTGCAGACTCTTACCATTCGACAGACAGGATGCTCTCCAAGAATCAAGATATCTTTTTGCCTCCTCTCGATTCTTTGGAACAATACAGTCAACAAGGGCCTTCCTCCTCAAGAAGAAGTCCCGTATCTGTCATGAGCAACCGACGGCATTCCTACCTCAAGTCGATTCCACTGCCCAAGACGACTCTGTCCGTGCGTGTCGACTCCCAGAGAACACTAGAAAGTGCTGCGCCCTGTACAGCAACCAGCTATTACGAACAGACACCTCGAGCTCTTATTGTTTCCGTGCCCTTCTTGCCCAATCCAAGTGAGCTCGAACAGGAAGGTTCATTGTCGTGCACCTCCAGGGCCCTTCCCCGATGCCGTCTTTCACCCAAACGACACGGTGGGCTACCGGTACGACCCAAACCAAGATCAGCTGCTGCCTTGTGCCCCAGCTTGCTTTGAAAGAACCATCCGGGGCCGGCTGTAGACTAAACGAAACGACTTCCACTCATGTGTCCGCAATACCAATAATACATATATAGTACATATATAGTAGCCGCCAGCAACCATCCTCCTTCAGTTGCTTGTTTGTTTTCGCTTGATATACACGGCTCATGTGGCATATAGAAAGTGATTTCCCGTCAGAGATGCACTCCACTGGGTGGGTGGCTTGCAAGTGCTAAACTTTGGGAGCAACAACCACTGTGTTTACATTCCTGCGGGACGGAGGTACTGCTGCCATCGTGGACCAAGATGAAGGAACAACTGGATCGTTTGCTGGCGGGAGCATATACTTTTCATTTCATTCTTTCTTTCTGGCTCCTCTCCATTCTTTCTTTCCTTTATCTTTATTTGTTCGAACGTTTGTTTGTTTGGTGCCGTAGGATGCTCGAGCTTGCTTTACGTGGGCTGCAACAACTGTGTGTGTGCAAATGGAAAATTTTCTGGCAAAAATTGCCTCTCCTCAGCGTACCGAACAGCCTGGTACTGTATACCGGTAGTTAGAGCTGGGAGAGAGCTCCACTGTTGAAATTCGTGCAGCTACGAATCGAATACAGCTAGAGCAACGCAGCGCAGACAGCAACACTTTGAGTAGCCCCAGGTGGTGATCTCACCGTAAGGACAGTTTAAGCTCGTGGACATGTAAGAACAGAGCAGAGCATCAGAAGAGCAAGCAGGCGGCCTCGCAAGAGAAAGCAAGCACCAGTCGGTGACCTCGTCGTACTGTAGACAAAAAACGGGTAGCTCGCTGGATCCGTCGATTGTCTCTCATGGAGGAGGAGGAGGAAAAGGAAAAGCAAGCACCAGTCGGTGACCTCGCCAGCCAAAGATATGTGGGAGGACCTTCCGAAGTCAACTGCGCGAGAACTTGATAGTCGTAGTACGTACAAGCAACGTTGTCGACAACAAGATCATCAGCAGCAGCAAGGCTTCAATCAATGAATCTAAAAAGTGTTCGTCATTTTTCTGGTTTCTTTGCTTCTCTCGAGCGGCCTCCAGTTCGACCCTTCGTCCAAATTCGCCGAGCATCACAACACAACCGTCCTACCGACGGCCGACCTCACCACCGCCTGGAATGTCATCCTCCTGTTTGAGCCAAGCGACGACCACGATGACACCTTGGAAGATCTCGACGCCATCATTCAGTTAGCCGAGAAACGCAAGTATCACGTGGAGGTCCAGAAGCTGTTCAACGACGAGAAGAAGAAGGCTCCGGAGCATGGCCCCAACATGACTGTCCAGCGGAAGCTCACCAACGTTTCCATCGCCAAGAAGGCTATCCTCCAGATTGAACAAGGTCACAACCATCATGAAGACATGCACGATCTTGAAGCAATCATTCAGACGGTCCAGGCAGCCCAGGCAGCCAAGCAGCGTATTCTAGCGGCCAACAAGACCACGACTCCTCCGGTGCATGAAGAGGCCGCCTTCAAGGCCACTGATCTCCTCAACGGTTTCGTCCGAGATATCCTTTCTACATTTGTCTCGTACCCTCTTTTGATTGGTGGGCTGGTTTGTCTCTTCATTTACGTTTTGCATTCTCTCATCAAGGCAGTTCTCAAGCGTGGCCCCGCCACCGCCAACAACACCTCCAATTGCAAGGCCAAGACCACTAAAATCAAGACCACCAACGTCAACAGCCTCGTCGATGGGCCAGTCACAGTATATTGTTACCGGCTCTACTTTTGCATGGACTGGCACTCATCGTGTTCGACGCGCTGCCGTACACAAGTGTTTTCCTCCCAACAAGACGAACCGGTACCAGTACCACCACGACGCAGTTCGCTAGCTAGCGTCGAGCGTCGAGTGTCAACGCAACGCTTTCCTTCGGTTTTTGTTTTTGTCTGCGTCTCTCGGCCTTTTGGCCATTGTCGCCATTCCGATCAAACCTCGTTCCCATCAACTCTACATGTGAGGCAGGGAACGTACTGTACCGGTAGCAGTTCATTCCCACTCTCAAAGAAGCTCTCAGAACTTTCTTTGACTTCTTCAAACAACCTCTCAGAACTTGCCTCTCCTCGCACCTCTTGTTCCGATGCAACACTGAGGAAAACTCTCCCCGTGTACTGGAGTGGGTGGGTGGGTTGGTTTGAATGCTTTCTCCTTCCTGGAAGGAACCTTGACTGGGTGGGATCCATCTCCATTGAGGTAGGCAGCAACATCAATGTAGGTGCTTCCGTCTGGCTTCAAAGCAAACGCCCCCTCCAGCGTTGTTGTCTTCTCCAGGCATGGTGCTGAAAGGACGCTCAGAGTACACCCTGATCAGCCTCGGCCAAAGGTTTATTATATGCCTGTTCCTCGACACCATGTGGTTCCTGGACTACTGTGTTGATTGGTCCAAGCTCGACTCATAGAACCTATGGCTGATCTCCATGGAGTCAAAGTGTTGTTGAAACCTTGCATCAAGCTGACTGAGGGACTCCTTGATGGACCCATCCATCTGTAGGGCATCCGCCATACGCTTGAGAATGGTTTGAAGGACATCGTCATTGGTAGAAGAAGGGGTGGTGGTTGTACCGGTAGCAGGTGTGAGCACCTCTTGGGGATCCCTGCTCCCATCAAAGAAGCCACTGAACCATCAGTGTCAACAGCAGGGGAATGGGTGAGGATTTTGGTGGGCTGGTTGCCACCTTGAGGAGTGGGTGCAAGCTCAGCTGCATTATCAGCTGCCATCCTCCTTTGTTGCCTCTTCCTCGCAGACTTCTTGGATACCATGATCTATGATGTGCTTGTTCTTGTGCTTGTTATGGGCTGGAAGCACTGCACTGACAACGGCTCAAAATGTGAGGCAAAGTGACTTTAGTTTGCGACGGGAACACACAAAGGCTTTCAATCGTCCAGTCTTCTTGGACCGTTCCTTCGACATCCAGTCGTTCCGTCGAGCGTCAAAACGTTCCAAGGAGTCGCACAAGAGTTAAAGTCGTTGTCTCTACTTCAACTTTCAGACCCAGAGTAGAAACAGTGACTTCGTGGAGTTACAGCTTCAAGTAAGAGCTGGTTTCAGAGCTCGTGGCTGCAGGAAACCGCTATTAATAGTACCGGTAACACGATTTACCACTGTACTCTGGAGCATTGTATGCAGCTATGCAGCTATCCTCTAGCTAGTATGGTACTCGAGTGCACCCCAAGACCCCAAGCCAGGTCCACTGGGTGAATCCAACTAACCTGCTTGACCTAGCAGCTTAGTTAGTATGAAAGTGAGGGGCCAAAATGGTGCAGCACAGTAAGAAAACCAGGACTGCACTGAATTTAGAATGTTCTTATAAGTGAGTTTGGAGTGCAAGTACAGGACAAAGGAAATAATAGCCGATGGGTTCCACCAAGAGACCGTCCATACTGAGTAGGATTTACTTCTGCTGCTCTTTTAGATTCTTTCAGTTCTCCTAATGACTTGACCTTTTCCTCCTCACAAAATGAGCCGGAATCAGCACACCTATACCGGTGAACATACTACGTGCCGATCCGTCGCGACGATTGATTCGATTCGCTGGACGTCCAGGTGGTAGGTTCCTCAATTTCGAGTCAAAAGTAGGATTTCTTGGAAATCTACAACCCACTCGAGCTCTGATTCACTGGGACTGTTCACCTGTAGCTGTAGCTTCTCTTGTGAAGAAATTCTTGAAAGGATCAGGGTAGATCTACAAGAGATGAGGATGCTTACAGAGTTTCCAGCTCCTGGTGTTGGTACCGATGTTAATCCTTCATGATGCGGGGCAGCCTAGCAAGTGCTGCCAGCTTACCTCTCAATGACACTGCTCAGCCTCAACAGGATAGGATTCAGCTGCAAAGGATCAAGGGAGCTACAGGTCTCAGAGATGGTAAGTTTGTGAGTAAACTTAATTAGTTCAGTCACTTTTTGCTAAAATCGTATAACAATTTTACACTTAATTTCTCCGACTAATATGCGAGCATCCAAATATTCTGGTGGTATTATGCAGGATTGAGCCATACATGTACTGGAGCTCCTCTACAATACACCATTTCTCGCAAGAGATTCACACACGTCACTAACAAACATAAAGACCAACCAGTCACGGAGAGTAACCAACGTATCTAGACGATCGGGGAGATGTTAAAAGAATCGGGAATTCTCGCTTTTTTGAACACCACCAGTTTATTCATCAGTGATTAACACACACTTACCCAAAGCTTTAACATCCACTTTTTGCTCCCTAGCTCTATTGTCCTTCAGTCCCGTATTTGAACACACACTTAGTCAATTTGGAGAAACAAGAGTTTCTTGTGATGCCTGAATCAAAACTCTCATTATTTCTTTGGTTTCATGATACAGCATGTTTACAGCTTGTTTGCCTTAGTGTTAAACAAAAGGGGAAGAAAACTGGTGGTGTTAAACAAAGCAGGGAAAAAGCTGGTGGTGTTTAAAAAACGGAGAATTCCCGCTTATTTTAACATCTCCCGGGTGGTTGTTTGTACCGGTATGCTCGTTTCGTGTGGTTGCATTATTGTGCGAGGGCTCAATGCTCAGCGGCAACTTGCTAACCGCACGGAGGGGCACTTTTGTACATGTATGTGGGTGGCAGTCAAGTCCTCAGTCATGAGTGATCCGTCATAGAGAAAGTGATCTTTCTGGAAACAAACTCTTCTTCAAAACACGACGTTCACGACTTTTGTCGTCGTGAAGATGATAGCGTCCGCGCTGTCTCTTTTCTGCTTGTTCCCTACCTGTAATCAGCCTTGGTTGAAGGTTCCTTTGTGCATGATCGCCATCACGATCGCAGTCTTCATCCGCGTACTCCTGCATGAAACGACGGACTGGCATGGATCGTCTTCTATGCTTCCACCAGCTGGATGTTTCCTGTCCTACAGCACCGTGCGTCGAGGCAAGATTTTCCTTCTTCTTTTGCTTTGTCTGCTTCTCTTGGACGGGATCCAGTTCTATGCCACCCCCCAACTCTCCAAGCATCACCGCACATGCAAGAACACCACCCTCGCGCGCGTAGTCACTCAAGAAGCCGTGTCCGCTACAGAAGACAAGCCGAAGACGCCGGAGCATGAAGGTTTCGTCCGAGACATCCTTTCTTCCGTCGACGATTCCACCACCCAGATTTCGCAAGTTGGTACTGGTGCAGTCGCTCAAGATGCCATCGTTCAGACCAACTTCTCAACCAACATGACAGAAGACAAGCCGAAGACGCCGGAGCATGGCTGAAGAGGCCATTGTAAAGTTCTATACCAAGGTCGCCCACCTCCTTATCGGTTTTGTCCGAAACGTGATTTCCCAAATCTTTTTGAAGGCGTTCCTTCTTCTTCTTCCCCATCCTCGTCTTGTGGTTGATGGACTGGCAGGTGTCCTTTGGTTGTATTGGTCTCTCCACAAGGCAGGTCCCAAGACCCTCCCCGAAGTCACCGAGCGTCGCGACAAGACCCCGAAACTCAAGGCAAGCAGCCTCGTCGAGGGGCCTACAACCGTAGATGATGAGGAGGGCGTCAACCAGGGCTTGCCAGCTGCAGAGTGGACCAGCCCGTATGTGATGTACCCTACCCGTATCTAAAGTCGTGCCCTCCATCCGCTGCGTGTTCTACAATGTTATGTTCCGATTCGATTCAGCCGCATCATTGTCTCTTCGATTCTAACACGAGCGGATTCTACGTTTGAACTAATGGACCGAGTCGATCGAATCACTCTCCTCGTCCAATTCACTAATTATAACATCCAATAATAATAATGTAACATTGCTTTACAGAACAAAAGGTACCCTCGTATACTACAGTAGCGCCACCGGAGAATGAATGATTAAATCCACCCCTCGTCACTACTTTTGCATGGCAAAGCACGACGGAAACCCAAATTGCACGGTCGGTAGTTCACATGCTCGGTGAACTTTCTCATCGTCCACGTAGGAATCGACGTCGTCTTGGGCGCTGCCATTGGCGCTGGCATCACCCAGCCGGCTGTCGAGCACAAACTTGTCCATCCGTGCTTTGAGATGATGTGGACCCAAATAGTCGTTCTGCAAGAGCCGGTCCAGCCCCATTCGTCGGAGAGGACCTGGCAAGTACTGACAGAGGGGAGACCAGAGTTCCTTGCGACAATCTTCGTCCACCTGCAGCAAACCAATGATGCGCTCCAGATGCTTGATTTCGAAAATGTCCGGCGACTCGAGTAACATCCATCTCAGTTCCTCCAGGATACGTAGCTTGGAACGATTCAACTCGTACCGGCGGGTTGCTTTCAACGCGTTTAGCATTTTCGACAGCTCTTCCTGCTTCTTGGCAAGGGCATCTTCGCTGAGATAGCCAAGGTCGGACCGCCGACGGCTCCCGATTTGACGTTTGGAACCATTACTGGTGATGGAGCCGGCACTACTAACCGATGCTGCCATCCAATCACTAAAGGTCATACTGGCACTGCTCGCAGTGCTGGCTTCTTCTTGGACCGGACTCATGGGGCCAGCAGACCTGGTAATACTGAGCAACGAGCTCATGTTTCGTGCTTTTGCCTTGGTACTGTTGGGACTGGAGCCCGAATCCATAGAGTAGATTCTTGAAATTGTCGGGACTGTGTTCTGTTGAGAGGAGGACATGGTGCCGCTATTGGAAGAGAGAGTTGAGGGGCCACCACTAAAGGTTGACATGGTTAGAAGGGAGGATCCTCCAGTGGAAAGAGTGCTGTCATCACTAATGTGCCAGGAAGAAGCTTCGTTGGACTGCGCATCAATTTCATCAAACGGCGCCCCAAGATCGTAGTCTTCCAGATCGTCAAAGATTTCGGAATCAGAAGAAGATGACGTTGATGGCTGGTCGAAACCGGGGTCTGGCGCATCTGAGGAATGCTTGGACCTTGACGTGGTCGACCAGGCCCTATCCCTTTGAAAGCGTCTTTGTTCAATCTCCGCTGCACTTTGACTCGATCCCGCTGTGCTTTGTTCGTTGTCCCTAACTTTGGATGTCAGATGTCGTGGATGTCGAGGAGGTGAAGGTCTAGGAGGCCTAGGAAGAAGCGGAGGGGATTTCTGCGAGGAAGGATTCGATGATTGTATAGAATGTCCCAGGGTTGTTGTAGTGGCAATATCTTTTGCAGATTCATCCCATTGAAAAGTGACGAAAAGGCAGCATTGAATGGCGCCCATCAACAAGCTTCCCAGAATGAAAGACACAGTTTGCCCCTGCAAGTCCAGCAACAGGTGTACGCTAAAGGTTGTTGCCAACGGAATGGCGACAAACCAAGTTGCAAGCCACGCGACAAAGGCCGCCACGTGATTGCGTCCCTGAACGTTCATCAGTGCCCAAGTGACGTATCCTATCGCTGTCACAACTAGACCAATCTCCAAGAGAGGCAGCAAATCGGTCAAGAGACTTTGGAGTGTTTCATCTCGCGTGATCCATGTCGCCAGGACGCCCTCTGGGATGGCAAAGAGTGCCAGTGCCAGAAGGACCGCCGGCAATGCGATCAATCCCACTGTGGCCTTGATGGATGATTGTAATGCGTGCTCGTGCCTTCCCAACAACATCAGTGCTTCGCAGCGCAAACTAACAACACATGCCATCCCTTCCAACCATGATGTCAACGCTTCCCATAGCACTCCCAAAATACACCAAGCCGTGAATTCAGCAGGCCCCAAGAATCTGCAGAGGCAAAAGATACAGGTTGAGTGAAGTCCTAGAGCAACAGATGAAGAGACGTTCGAGGTCCGTAGTTCACTGGTACAACTTACGCAGCCAAAAACATCAAGATTTCCCACTATTTAGAACCAAGTCGAGCCAAAGGAACAATGAGAACGTGTAAATGGAACAACGGAACAACCTCATTGAGTTCATGCTACACACGTACCGTACTCCCCAGAAAGACGTTTCCTAGAATCATTGGAATGGCTGTTTCCATCACGGCGGAAAGAACCTTTCGATCGGTCGCGGAACAGGCACCCAACAAGCCTCCCTGGTAGGCTTGTAGCCATCCCGAGTACAAGGCAACTCCGACATTCCACACCAAGAACGTAACGGCCAATTCCAACTGTACCAATCCAAATGTTACGAGATCAGCCTTGTCCAGCCAGGTCCAAAGCGCAATGGCAACCAGAACAAAGGCTTCTTCCAACAAGATCATAGTCGTACTGTATGTCCCGTGCTTGGCTCGTACCAGCAAAAAATGTACGCATTCAGACAAGCCCTTGAGTAGATTGAGCACGAGGGCAATGTATGTGTAGTCCACAGCCGCGCTGATGGTTTGTTCATCCATCTGCAACCATTGGAGGACCGGCGTAATGGACAGTGTCCATATGACCCAGAGCGGCATTGAGAATGTTACTAGAAGGAACATTGTGATTTGCGTGTATTGTCCTGTTTGTGTTCCTGTAAAGTTGGACCTTGTCAGCTTTTGCAAGGCTCCAAACCATGCACTAGAGACTCCATTTAGTGTCCATTTCACGATCAAGACTTGAACAATAACGTAGGCTGCAAGGTCGCTAGTGCTACGGAGAGTCAGTCCAAGGATCACGAGGGTAGCAATCTGAAGAATACCCTGACAAAGCGTTGGAGTGACAAACTGTTTCATAAGTCTTGTCATTCTTTTGATGAGCTTTTTGTCTGCGCAACATCCCAAGATACTCTTTGCCCACGCAGCGCCGTTGTTTCCCCTTAAGAGCGGATAGTCTGAAGCGTCGATCCCATCATTGTTGGAATCCACGGTAGTATCATGGCTGTTGTAGCTCGTACTTTCTTCTCTCAGGAACCAATGAAGCGCCCGTTTCCGACGTAGTTGCCTCTGACGATAGAAGAAGGAACGCAGCTGCGGAGTGTGAAGCTCCAATACGGACGTTAGGAGCACCGCCAAAGACCCTAGAATCGAGGACGAAGATGCATTGCCCTTCAGCGACTGTTGCTGTTGCTGATTGTGCTGGCGAGAGCCATGCCACTGAACCTCAATTTCGGGGTATTTCATGGAGGGTTTACTGGGAGTCGCGGAATACTCTTCGTCTTGAAACTGATCCCAAAAGCCCTTTAAAGCATCGCCCGCTTCAGCGTCTTCATCCCCGCCATTCACCAAGAGCCCAGTGAATCCCTTTTTGAACCGCCGTCTCTTTCGACTACCTCCAGAGCTCACAATGCTGTTCGTGTCATTGTGATCGCCTGAGCAGCACCGTTTCTTGATTCCCACGACTAGCGGCAAGAGGACCAGGTAAGTCACCAAGCACACGCCCAGGACAAACGCCCACAGAAATGGCCCGGGATCATTCGTACGAGGCTCATAGTCGCTATAGATGGCCACCGGTGCCTCCGTTTCGACTGCCGGTGGAGTTGTCCCATACTCTCGGTCAACTACCGAAGTTGGTCTGAGGGCACTGACGGTCGGCGACAAAGAAGCGTTCATGGTCAAAATGGGATACCATAGATTCCCAATTCGCTTGCATCTTGACGTGCCTGTTACCACGTCGTGCTACCGTTGCTAATCTAGATAACACCGTTGCAACAACATCCGAATCCGTTTCAGCTCTACCGGAAAACTGGGAACAAGTTTTCGGCCACACGGCTTGGGTATTTGGCAAGTGTGATCAAAACTAGTTAGACCGTGGGAGTCCAAGCCTCTCATAATGAAGCTTAATCTTGGGTTCCCGCATAGGAACGGCCAGATTTTTGGATCTAATAAGTGCGTTGCGCGAAGCAAGTTGCGTTGATGGGTTGATCGGCTACCGGTACAACTCTGCGGATGCTCACATCTTTCGCACCCCTTCGTTCCGACACTTTGAGATGGTAGCCGGACCAGATGCAACTTACAATGGCATCAAGCATAAGCTAGCTAGGCTACCCTGAGCCGTCCCTCTGCTTCCATGCGACGCGGGTTGAAGTTTAGTTTGCCGGTAGCTAAACAATCCAAGCAGCACAACAAGGCCGCAGTGGTGGGCTCGCCGGCGAATCTACAAACTATCTGCATGCCTACTACCGGTAGCTACCGGTAGCTAGCCAGAAACGACTAGCCAGAGATCAGGGTGGTGACCGAGTGATGATTGTTTTATAAATTATGGAATTTGAAGACAAAGATTGCTACAAATATTCCTCTACAGGTAGACTATAATATGCATAGGTACCCTTTCCTTGCAATGCAAGCAACATGTGGATCATCATGGCAGCCGTCCGGCTGTGATTGTCATCCAACGTCCAATTGCCTGGAAGCTATCGGTACCGGTGGGTATCTCTAATTAGTAGAGGAGAATGAGTTGAAGTAAAGACTTATGCATACCGGTAGTAGAAAACAATTGAATTAACGCTGCGATGGCAGTACAAAACAGGTTCAAAGCTGGTTTTGGAAAATAATAGTGCAGATTGATAGGCTATCCCTAAGTCGTCCTCTTTTGGTACACGGACTGCAACAGAGAGAAAGTTCTATTCTGCCATGTTGAAAGCGGCCTATGCCAATTGTGATGATGCCAGGATGGGTAGTTCTAACCCGGATCCATGGCACTCCGATTCCAGACCTATCCTGAGATTATCGTATTGACTCAGACTGGCCGCATTGACAGAATCCTGGATGCACTGGGTTGCAATGACTTGCCTGGAGTTGATACTCCTGGAATTGACACTCTTCGAAACGATAAGCATGATGGTGACCCTGCAATCTGTACCTTCAACTATGACAGCGTCATTGGCAGGTTGCGGTACTTGTGTGCCCATTCTAGTAGGCCAGATTTGAGTTCGGCTGTGAGCCAAGCTGCCAGATTTGCATCGCGGCCCAAGAGAAGCCACGAGCGGCCAGTACCTGGTCAAGACTAGGGACGAACAACTCATCTTCAACACTTCCACTTCCACTTTGCCCTTTGCAATCATTGGGTTGGATCGCACTGTTTACAAGGCGGACGTCAACATGTTGGTTTTCTGTGAATATTTAGAGCTTTCTTGTTCCTCGCGGATGGAAGGGATAATCTTGGATTCAATGTCCATTTGTTCCGTTTCCTCCAACACTGGTACTACCGGTAAGGGTAGCGACGATGATGGTGAGTCCTCTGTATATGTTTTTGCTAGCTGGTGCAAGTGCCACTCCAAACGTGCAAGGCAATATCTTACCAATCCTTTTGTTGTGCGTCCTACTAGGAAAAGGAAACCGATACCCGCCTGGCACGATCGAGGTAATGGATGAGGGCCGCACCCTGACTGTGACCATGAAGCATGGCATTTTCTTACCATTCTATTGTTGTGTTTTCTCCCTCTAGGAAAACCAGAACGAGTCCATGTTCGAATTGGTGTTGGATGATGGTCCTGGTCCCGCTACTGCTGTGTATCCATGAGTGATTCAGGGAACGCTCCGACGAGTGATCCATGGGTCGAGAAGGAAGCATTTGGCCTGCATGGCCGGTCCTGTGTAATAGCTGTACCAGTAGTGCTAATCTTCGTCTAGTACTGTATGTTTTATACATTTACCGTTGCCTACGCCTGCCCTGCAAATGTTGACACACAAAGTAGTGCACAAACTTGTAGAGTACCATGGCTGCCATCCCACCACCTGTTTTCGCTCTTCCTGGTGCAAGTCATTCCAATGTCAAGCAATCAAGGCTAACGAACATCTCCATTTTTTTCTCCAGCATTACCAAAGATCATTCAATGAGATCCAATTCCATCCATCAATCAATTGTTGCGGGTCAGGGTAAAGTGCTTGACGCCCAGACCGTACTTCGGAGGCAAATCACGCCAGAAACGAAGCGTATTGTCGCCCTCTTCTCTTCCAAATCGAGAGTGACTGGAGCCCTGCATGCATATTCCCACTCTGCTTCTGTGGGAAGGCGAATTTCTCGACCCGTCAACACGGTCACTTCGCGACAGAAATCCAATGCCATGTCCTCGCCAATGTTGTCGACTGGACAGTCCGGATCAGTGGTGGATTTGCTGGGGATGTTTCCCGCGATGGCCTCGTATTGCGCCTGCGTCACGGGGTATTTGCCAATGTAGAAACCTCTGGTGATCGCCACCTCGTGTTGGGGGAGTTCCATGCAAGCGAACCTGGTTTCTTCCGTATTCTCGCCTCCCAGACAAAGGTTCCAGGCTTGATGTAGACCATTTCAATCTTTAGGCCGGTGTCACGTAGATTGTAGCTGTATTCTTCGACTTCTCCGACGTCTTCTTCCTCGTCGAAATCGGCCTTGTCATCTGCCGAAGGTGGGGCGAAAACCACACGATAGCCCCAGTTTTCATACTTGCCATAGCCACCGCTGAGCAGACGGAATCCTGAGTAGCATTTTTCTAAGAGCGTCCAAACGGAAGGTTTTCAATCCGTCCATGCATCGATGTGAGAAGACATGTAATGATTGAACGCCGAATTTCGACCTGCTGGTGTCGCCTTACCTGCGTCATTCTTCCAAGTTTCACCTCGCATCACTGTCAATCCTTGCGGAGGAAAGGGTGGGAGGTAGATCTGCTGTCCTCCGCTACCGGTAGGGTGAAAACTTGCTTAGATCTTGACGTCCTTGGTTCCTCTGGGGACGGCCACTGCCGGAATGAGAATGCTACCATCTTCGTTGTACTCGATTTCTGTGAAGAGTCTCCAGTACTCTTGGTGGCCAGGACTCTCTGGGCCATGGTAGGATTGGCATTATTGATGCTGATTGGTTGTGCCTTGTTGGTGGCCTGCTTTTCCTCAATGATTCCCTTCAGCATACGAAGCGACAATCCGTACCAATATCCAATTTCTCTGTTCTTGGCGTCCTTCCCAAACTTGTTCTTGTCAAAGTCATGCTCGTGTGTGCAACAACATATCCCATCCATTGAGCGCGTTTGACCTGTCCATACGCTGCAGGATTGGCGCGGGCTTGGGTACCGGTAGTGGCAAGAAAGTCGACATCCTGTTTGTAAATGGTTTTGGTCCAGCCAGCTCCCCAACCAGGTCCAAGACAAGTGACCCATCCATCGTTGCGTGTCCACCGACACAGGGCACCATTTCCCCGGGTGGGGCGTGCCGTAGTGGGGATTCCAAAGGCTCGGAGTATGAATCTTCCAAACCAAGCCCGTCTTCCACAAATTCCACCGTTCATGAGAATGTTTTGGTACTTTGCAACTCATCCCGATCGTATTTGACACCTCCTGATCCGTACCAGATTGCCGTAGCGCCATTCTTCGTTGGGCGTTAGAACATGATCCGGGCAAAAGTTGCGACAGGTGTTACGTCCCCATTCGGCGATTTCATCCGGTTCATCTCTATCGACGACAAAGCGCAAGTCCCAGACAGTGAGTGCTTCAAAGGAAGGAACCAATTCACCACTGAGATACGCCATTTCATAGTTGAGATAGCGCTTGACGGGATCTACGTGTACCTCCATGCTGGCGTTTTCTTTGGGATTGGTTTGCTGCATGGGAACTGCATGTTCCAAGGCAATGGCCAAAGCCAATCGGTCCAGAATGCCTGTGGAATCTTCACGTGACTCCCGTTGCTGCAAGATGTCCTTGTAGATTTTCATGGCGGAACCATCCTGTGCTTCCTTGGCTCCATCGGCCACAAGCATCTTCTTGAGCAACGCCGTGTCCGACAGAAGTTCTTCTACCAATCCCGCATTGCCATCTTCAGCTACTGCAAACTCTGCCAGAGCCAGCCGCCGGAGTGGCTTCATCGAGCACCACAAACTGAACCAACTGATCATTCCAACCCATCTTGATCCAAAAACTTGTTTTCTTCGGCGCTCCAGCCATCTTCTGGTTCTTCCAAGCAAGGTATAGCTTATCGGTGAGTTCCGTCTTTAGACTTGCCAGCCGTTCTTCCAATTCCTTCACTGAAGTTATACTCACTGCCGTACCGTATTGACTAGCGTGGGGAAACTATGATGCCTTCTCAAAGCCCTTCTGGCTACCGTAGCTCTAGCTAGCTATGGGCAGCTTCCGATTTGCAAGGAGCATCCGCTTACATTGTCATTGTTGCGAATGATCTCAAGGATACGGAGTGTGTGCGTCAAAGCCTCAATTGTCCAATGTAGCGTACCGTACCGGTACAGTACCGGTGGTACAGTCGTACCGGTACGGCTACTAATAACTGCACCAAGACTTCCGACTTGATTCAAATCGAATATGTACTGTACCGGAAGTGATTCGATTCGAATTCAATCGAATGTAAGCAAGGCGTGGAAACATAGCGTGGACAGGAGCCGGTTCGTCAGCTTGGGTTTTCCTGCACCGCCCAAGCATCAGCTAGCTGGGGTATTCCTGCACCGTCGGTTCATTCTCATTTCATGGTCGTATAGATATCATAGATAGGTAGCAACCAAAATTATGTTGTATGGATCAATCCGCCGAGGATGGCTGCTTGGGATGGCATTCTGGTCCTACCATGTCACCATGGTGTCTGGATTTCATGGGCATTTTTACAATGAAAAAACAAGCCATGTTCTGGCTCGTCGCGGCAATAAGCCTCTTCCTAAACATTTGTCAAACGCTGCTGTGATCGATCGTGGGCAACATAACAAGCAGTGTGACCAACCTACTACCTCCAAGCAAGCAGCTTCTACTCAATCCGTTTCCAAGGCAGATTGGAACTTCCGTTTGAAATATGAGCTACCTGGCTTCGTCTTTGGAGCAGTCTTTGGTGGTGTGAGTGGACTCTTAGCAGGCAACCTCGTGTCTTGTGCTTTTGGATTGGAGGCCACTGGCAAGATGTTGCCCGTCTGTATGTTTCTTTATTTGTTGTCAATGCTGATCAACTTTGCCTTTGATCGGATGAGCACCGTTGACAGAATTGCTTCGGGGAAATGGGTTGCGACGCGATCTGGTATGAGGAGAGGTTTTTTGGTGGTCTGTTATTTCTGTTTGGGTTGGACCACGGGAATGATTCGAATGGATGTTGACCGCTACATACGACGGCTATTTTGAGAAGAAATCAAATCTCAATCGATGAAGTTTTGTGAAGGTGCCTCCAATAAAGCAACGCCTTGCGTCGAACGTACTAGTACCGGTAAGAGCTGTGGCAGCTGTGAGCTCTGCTCTATGGCGAGCTAGTAGAACATTACATGTAGTGAGCTCAGATGGTTACAAACATTACACTTCTATACCCCCAAAGTGAGATGCGTGCTTGTTCACTACACTCATGCGTCCAGCGTTTTCCATCGATCCGGAATCATGTTGTCGGGCAAACCCATGGGATGGCGAAAGGCATGAACCAAATGTTGGTCACTGTGATACATTCGAGGAAAGTACCGGATGGATGCCAATGGATAGCTCGTCAGCATGCGAGGTAGGTTGTTTTCGTGCCACGCCAGTGACTTGTCATCGTCGTCGATTGGAGATGCATGAATCCGGACCGTGTATGTAACGCTGTCGTCATTGTCTTCTTCTCGACGCAAGACTGTGCAGGGCCAGTAGATACCTTCGTCGTGCTGAGAATAGCCACCGCTGTAGACGTAGTCTTCTCCGGAATCGGCAAAGGCTTCCAGCAATTCGTCCTCGTCGGCATACACCCGCCTCCAGTTGCCGTCGACTTTGATCTGGTAGGCATCATCTTCATCTTGCTCGGACGTCTCGTACATGCAGACCGTCATGAGGTAGTCATCTTGACCGGCGTCATCGGTCGCCCAGAGATCATTGGCAACCAAGTAGTCCAGGGGCTGTCCCTTTTCAATGGCTTGATTGAGTTGTGCCACGGATCGTCTCTGCTGCTTGGTTCTGCCACCACTGTCATCGTCATTGTGGCTCCAATCAATGACATGTCGAATCCATGCATGTTCCCAATCTTGTCCATAGTCTACAAACACTTCCTCGCCCGGCAATATGTCTCTCGTGGCAACAACCTGGAGTGACAGTCCTCGCTGATAGAGTGGCTGTTGCATCATTTGTGGAATGGTCATGTTGAGCCATTCTCTGGTGGAGGGATCCCAACTGGAGTCGGCCCACTCGATTCTGGCATTGGGACCAGTACTAGTACTCGTAGAAGTGTCGTTGCCGCTACCCTTGTTCAGTTTGGGACAAGGAAATCCTGGTCGATCACTGCAATGGTTGATGAGTTGAGCATTGGTAATGGGACAGACTAGAAGCGTGGTTTGTGTATTGCCCCAGCAGTAGTTGAGCAAGAGTTGTTGTTGCTGTTGTTGGTGATTGTCGTGGTGGTTGGTCATGGCCAAGACTCCCTTGTGTAGAATGTGCAAGGTGGGAGCTGGGACTACAATCTCTCCCTTGGCGATGGAATGTTGTGCAAATCCTCCCTGTCCGGCTTGAGGGAGAGTACTGGGTTTGGGAATAAGGTTTTCCAAGCACATGCCATGTTGTTGAATCCATTCCGGTGTTCGAGGATTGGTCCCTAGAATCCGTTCGAGTTGTTCCGCCAATGCCATTGGTTTGACATTTGGAATGCTTCGGAAGCGATCCGTGCCTTCGTCCAAGTCATTATTTTCGTTGTTCTGGAGAAAGGGTTCCATGACTCGAAAGAGTTCACCGGTAGAGGAGGGGATGAGAGATCGTACGGGATGCGACTCTTCCTCTTTGAGAATCCCTGAAACGTACAGAATACCTTCGACCAAGGGCAAGTCCATCATGTTGCGTCCCACATAGTTGTTGTTATTATTATTTGTAGATCGTTGATGTTGTTGTTGGTGTTGCAAGAAAGATGTGTGGTATTCCTCTCTGACTGTTCCAGTGGGTTCATAGTAGAAGAGTGCATTCCAAAGGGCCATGACCAACTTGGCAGCTTGTAGATAGTCTTGTTTCATTTTGGAGTATTTGGTCCATTGAGGAGTGCTGTGATCCACATCCGTTCGATCGCAATGTCCATAATTCAAGAATATTTCCGATCCAGCCGGTAAGGGTTTCTTGACACGAAAGTCTCTGCCTGCATGGTAGGAAAAGGCTCCAGCTCCCACCGAGGAAGAATTTGTCAGGTGATCCAGATAAGGTACTTTTGGAAAGGCAAAAGTGATTGTGTTCCACAGGCAGTGATGATTGGGCAAGGCTCCAAAAGTGGGTTGAAAGTCAATCATGTACTCTGCTTCATAACTCGCATGGTCTCCCACTCCTCGACCCCACCAGTAGTGATCCCACATGTGCGTCCAATGCCTTCGAAAGTCTACCATTTCCTTACTTTCATTCTTATTTTGTTGTGTTCTAAAGTCCGTGACGACAATGGAAGGTCCATCCGGAGCCTGTAAAATGGATTCCAGCTCGTCAATATCTCTGGTAGTAAAGATTCCATAGCCTTGTAGACCCTTGAGAGAGGAAGGAGCCATGAAAATGCTGCATTCCTTCTTTACTGGTGCATCCATAACTACTTCATCCATATTGTTGTTAATAAGAAGCTGACTATTAATAGAAAAGGATGCTGTGGATGATGTATTCTGCTTCTTTTGCCTTTCTTCCAACAGATTCTGAAGAATGGCTCTTGCTTTGCCTGAATCTTGAACTTGCCACTCTGATGCTTCAATCCTCACAAAAGAAGAAGAAGATGATGATGATGCTGTTGAGGCTGATACCCAATGAAGAGAAGATAACTGCAATACAGCTATCAGAACACCTGCACACAAAAGAAAGGATCGCATCTTTCCATCAGGAGAAGAACCAGCACGAACAACACTAATAATACAACCTGAACCTGAACCTGAACCTGAAGAATAACCTGGAGAGAGAGACTTGCCCCTGCTATTTGTCATCGTCCGTCTTCAACTAAAACTAGACTAAAATGAGGCAATTTATTTGTTCTGAATCTCGCCCGATCTTTCATCGGAGTAAAGGAACGCGGGCAGAACCGTATCCACGTATGATGCTTAGACATCCTTGTTTTGAATCCGGTTCAAAAAATATTCCTAGAAGATCTTTTCACCGCGGAGGGCGGCTTCCATCGACGACTCAATCCGGAACACAAAACTAAACCTCCCTCCAATAGTGAAACATCTTCCGATGTCCCTTGACAAGTTGCCACCGGAAACCGATCGCCAGAGCAGTACGATTCAATCCATTCGTAGCTGTCATTACCGTTTTCCATCCATCCATCCACCAAGACCTTCTCCAACTCTCCCTCTCGTCTCACAAATCGATCCAGCAGAACTACAAAACACACAAACAAGCCATCCAGCAACTTCTATCAATCAAACACTAGCTACAAAACAAATAATCAACCATGACGGGCAACTTTTTCGGTGAAACTTGGGACCGCATCAAGAGCTTTACAGTGCCCAAACCAGAACGAAATGCACAAATTCTATGTGGAATCTGCAATTGCTTCTTCTTTGGAATTGGAACCATTGTGGCGGGGATTATCGAGAACAACTTGCCAGACGTAGCCATTGGAGTTCTACAGCTATGTGTACCCTTTGTCGGATGGGTATGGAGTGTCATTTGGGGTATCTTGATGATCCTAGATAAATAGACTAGATGATGTGATGGAAACAGGATACATTCAGAATACACTGCACCTACTAAAGCCTACTAAACACACAACCATTGCAAAGAAATTCCATATCTTCGGCCTTCGTCTGCATCTTGCTGACAAGTGCGTCAACACGACTAGGTATAACAAACTGCTCCAACTTTCTGCCTACGGTATGCCAGTGTATTTCTGGCTGCACCAACACATTCCTGGTCCCATATTTACCGGACCATCCCTGGTTCAATGAATGGACCAATGCCTGGATCAACTCTGGGGCCTACCGGTACCCTACCGGTAGATCTAACTCCAGGGCATACATATGTTGTCCCACGACATCAACACCGCTACCATACGGCAGAAGGAAATCAGCGTGGTGTTTGGCAGCCCTAGTATTCTGGGCCATCATTTATGGTGACACAGTAAAGCTTGGATGTATGGCCTGAAAAAAATGACTTCGGTATACCTGTTTATATAGCTAGCTTGCAACAAACACCGAGCATTCTTGATTGTACCGGTACTACAGTCATTCCCGACGCTCCTGTTGACCCGTCCCCGATCGACGCAACCGGGCATTTTCATCTTCCAATTCTTCGATTCGCTTCGTCAAACTGTGGATGGCGGTCAGCTCAATGTCTTCGCGGGCACTAAAGTCCATGCTGTTCTTTCTCTGAAACTGAACAAACGGCACCGCCGCTCCTGTAGCTACCGACGTTGCCGTTGACTCGTCTTCCTCAGACTCAGTCTTCACCACAACCACCATCATATCTTGGCCATCACCACCAATGGAACCGATTACAGAGCCTCCTGAGGGAGCAGGCACCACGCCAAATGCTCCATCCGCGGTGGGCACCATGCCAGTGTCTTGTTTCTTGGTCGGCTGTCTGTCCTGGTCGCCATCCGTCTCCTTACTCACATCCAAGTCTTCGTCTTCGTCGTGACAATCTCCCTCCATGGGAGCGTATAGCAAGTTCTTCTTGTCCTGCTTGTTATTGCCGACGACAGATGCCAAGCGCTTTCCTCGTGAAAAGAGAGTTCGAATTCCCTCAACACGAGCTTTCACAGCACCGGAGCTCATTCGAGGGGAGGAGGACAGCGCACTACCCGACGCCCCCGAAGTGGACCTGCCTTCGCTACCATCACTGCTCGAGTCCATCATGTCACCTTGCAATTGATTGATTTTTGCCTTCAAAACTTCAATTTGTTCTCTGCTCTTGGCTAGCTCGCCAGTCCTTTGGACCACAATCCTTTGGGACAAGTCACGTTCGGTTCTCAAGGCTTGAATCAGCTTTGACTGCTGTTGCGTTAGGTTTTCGGTGGCTTTGCGCTCTCGGACATGTCCAGCGGCTTCTGCCTCCAATCGAGTCACGTTGCTCATTTGTTGCTCAAGCTGCTCCGCTAAGCAAGTGACTTGTGACGTTAGCCTCTCGCACTCCTCAGCTTTCTCCAACAGTTTAACTTCAATGTCCCCTCCAGCCTTGTGATTTATCGATGGCCTGGATGCCGGCACTGCATCTTGCGTATTCTGATTCGCCGCTTGGAGACGCAAGGCTTCAATTTCCGCACTTGGCGTCCGCCCGTTCATCACCACGAACATACTGTTCATTCCGCTCGCCTTTTTCCAAATTGTTTTTGCTGTGCTGCTTTCAGCCTTGCCTTCTTTGTTGCTTGTGGAGGTACTGTCGTTCGCTGGGACAGGGACCATCTCTCCGCTCTCGTTCGTTGAATCCGATGCGGTACCGCCTTCACTTTCGACCGTTCCTTCTGGGTGAACACGTTCGTTTGTTGCACCTCCATCTTCTTTGTTTTCGGCATTCGTACTAGGCGAGTTCAGTTCGACCTCTTGTGCTGCGTTCTCATTGCCAGCTAGAGAGCCATTCTCGACCTTCATTCCTTCTTCTGTAATGACATCTTCCAACGCTTCCTTTCGCTCGGTTGTAGGACATTCGTCCTTCTTCGCTGACTCCTGCTTCTCATGACATGGTTCCGTCTCGTTCGTGTCCTCATGCGATCTTACCAGAACGGATGTTGGTTCCTCTTTTGCCTGAGGCTTGCTCTCGCGGTTCGAACTGACTGATTCTATATCTCTGCAAGAGGCGGAGGAACCGGCCGGGTTTCGTGATACGCCTTCCCACTTGCGTGCCTCGGCCTTCGCATTATGTAGTTCCGACACCAGCTGCTTTTGTTTCTGATCTAACAGGCTCAGTTGGACTTTCGTCTGGCGCAGCTCTTCTTCCGATTGAAGCAGCTTGGAGCAGAGTCGAACGTATCCTTTGTTGGGATCCGTGTCGTCTGTTCCCTCCGGCGAAGATGGTCTGGAAAGCGCTGATTCGTCCGTCTGGTCCACAGACATTGATGGCACCTTTCGGGGCAACGACATCTGTAAGCCCAAGGAAGGCGACTCGAGTTTTCGGGTCAGCTGGCTGTCGAGCACCGGAGGTCTCTTGCCTCCGCCATCTTGAGAGGCAGAATACGACATCTTGGATTCTTCATCAGAGAGTACGGACTTCTCAAACCCAGCTGAGCTGTCGCTCTTCCCAAATAGCGCTTCTCCTTCCCGCGCCAATGTCGATTTCTTGCTGTCTTTGGTTTTCCGGCAAAGGAGGGCTCCATGGAGTTTGCTGCGTGTCAATGATGAGATGGTGGGCTCCGAGAAGCGTCTACGGGCCAAGAACGAGTCAAAAGAGACCATAGAAGATATGCTCTGTTCCAGCGATCCAAAGGAATTGATATCGTCATCTTCGTCCTTGTCTTCTCGAAATATTTGCAGTTTGTTGAGTTTTTCCTCGAGCTTGCTTCCTAGATCTTCTTCATGGATATCCGAAGGTGTGTCCCGATCAAAAGATGCACCTCTGCTCCTAGGCAAGTTGACGGGTAAATTCATATCGGCATCGCTGTCGTAAGATGCGTGGAACTGCCCCGACCTCCGCCATACACTCTCCTTCTGAATGTTGGACTGGTTGGACTTGACTGGAGTTGTAAATGCTTCCTGTTCCAAGGCCTTTTCCTTGGAACTCTGTTCTGCCGTCGAGTCGTCTGGCGTGTTGGTGTCTGGAGGATGCGCTAAGTCATTCTCTTTGAGCGATGGGCTGCCCACAGCATCGCCGCCATCTTTAACACTCGCTTCTTCGTCCAACTCGTTGACACGATGGATTGGGAACGTGTCACCAAAGGTTGTCCAATCCTCGGGATGGACTAAAACTGTCCCCTTGGCAATCCCCAGGTCGGCCTCGAAGTGACTCTCAGCAGCGTCCGCACGGATTACTTCTTGCGCCAATTGATCCATGAACCCTGAAAGAATGACTCGGTCGTTTTGCATAGTTTCAATCTGAGCCGTCAGTTCCTCGATCTTTGCGAGCAAAAAGCTGTCATTCTCTTCAAGCGGGTTTATCGGAGGAAGCTGCTTCTCAGCATGATCAGAATTATTGGAGCTCTGGTTGTTATTGTCGTCCAGCCTGGCTGGTGGAAACAGCGGATCCTCATCCGCTTCCACTCGCCTCTCTTTTTCCCCCTCCAGCTGTCTTTTTCGTTGCTGTGCCCGTTGATCTTGCCAAACCGACCTCATGTCTTCCAACTCGTGTTGCATTTCTCTGTAAAGAGTCCCAATAGCTTTAACCAAGTCCTTTTCTTGATCAACTTTGACAGACATGGCAAAGCTGGCTGCTCCTTTTGTCGTCACCGTTGCGCAGTCGTCATTGTCCATGGTGTTGTCCTCTTCAATGTAAATGCTTTCATCGTCGCTCAGCAACTGTTGCAGCACAGCTAAGGAATCGTGTGTCACGATGGTGTTAGCTTGCGACGCTCTGTTGTGATGTTCTTCTTGCATCTCCTTTCGCAAAGATTTCCACTCGCAGTAAAGCTCTTTGAGTTGTTGCTTGGAGTTCTTCAATTGTGCTAAACAGCCTTCGCTCTCAATTTTCAACAAGGCGTAAACCCGGATGGCCTCGTAGCACGCTTGAGGACCAAAATCCATAGATTCAATATTGGGATCTCCAGTGCCTTTCAAAATAATACGCACCACCTGCTGTGCGTTGTGGAGCTGTGACATCAGCAGACGTTCTCGGCGACTGCTGGAAGCTTTGCGTTTCTTCTTTTTCCTCTTTTGGCGTGAAATTGCCTTGCCGGTTTGCGATTGTCTTAGCTCTTCCAGCAATGTCTTTGTCATTTTCAGAGTTGGCCTGGAGGACGAAGTTGGTGAAATCGTCATTAGGTCCATTGAAGCAGCCCCAACTTCGGACGACGTGACAAAGTTGGCATCACTAATGGGCGGCGACGTGGGTTGTTGGTGGTGTTGCGCCATGATCTCCTGTTGTTCTAGCTGATAGGGTTCTTTTGAATGCTGGAGCCACGCACTCTTGTTGGCAATCTTCGTTCTATTCAATAAGGGCGGTGACATGGGTCTTGGCGACGATGCTGACTCCTTTTGCCTCGTCTTATTGCTGGAGTCCTGATGATCGTGCTTGGGAACGAGGTCCCGGGGCTGCACTCGATCAATGATATGTCTAGGTTTCTCCGGATGTGTTGGAGTGATCCCTGATGACGGTGTTGTGGGGGTCATTGGTAAGGGAATCGACAAAGCAGATTCCATCATACTAGGACTGCAGGATACTTTCAGCGTGCTTATCGGAGGAGACACTGGAACTAAGTGGGCGTCCTTGTTGAGTTTGGCTAGCATGGCATCGGCTTGAAAGGGACTCATGGGAGGCGACGTGCTGGGGCCGGATAAGTGTTGACCCATACAATCACTGCTATCTATACTTGCAACAATGCTTCCATCCAACTCTAAAGGGCTCAGTGGTGGTGACATTGGCGGACTCTGACAAGGTCGTCCTGGACTCGTTTGTACTTGCGGAAGTGTCATACCGCTGAGCATGTGTTGTCGGGGACTAACGGGTGGCGATACAGGGAGTATTCTTTGAAAGGGTTCTTTCTGATGCTGTAGCCACCCCGACCCCGACGTATTGGCAATGACGGGAGTTGATGGAGAATTCGGTGTCTCCTTGATAGGACTGTGGCGCTGTTTGTTGCTAGTGATCAAGTGACGGGGAGTAACCTTGACAATCCCAGTACTGGTGTTCGAGCTATTAATAGTCGCTTCACTTGGTCCAGGAGACGAGAAGCTGTTGTTTGCAGATGCGTCTTCGATCGCCGCGTCTGCGGGACCAGAATATCGTCCTTGTCTACGAAATGATGTTGTTGGCTTGGGGGGAGCAATCATGCTCCGTCCAGCTAAGGGAACTGGAGTGATTGGCTTTGTGTTGAGCTGCGCACTGATACGTCTGCTAACTGCGACAAGACCTGAATCGTCCGAGGATGTCCGCCGCACCATGGCTCCACGAGGGACATCTCGAGGTGCTACGGGCAGGGACGTGGGAGTGAATGACTTTCGGCGCCCTTCTCTCGGCTCTACAACACGAAAAGCAGATGTCGCCGATCCACTTAGGTCAAGTCGGACAGCGGATGACGTCTGAGGAATCGGAGGATGGAAACTCGGGCGAGAAACGCCGGTTTCCGTATTAATAATGCCCGCTCCTGATGCCACCGCAGCTTCGTTTCGTTTTACGACGATTTTGACCGGCTTCTCCACAGGCGTGGTTGGCGTTGCTGGGGCCTTATCATGCCGTTTGTTGGGCTCGGCTTTGCCCGTCGCAACCATGGTGATACCGAGCTGAAGCAGTGAGCGTTTTAGTTTGTTGCAATCCAATTCACCTAGCTACAGTAATCACTCTAGCTGTTGATCCTGCCGGAACCCCTTGCCCAATCCTGGATCAGTTCTACGGCACCTGTTGGATTCTTCTGATCAGGACACGACAATGCCAATGCATTTATTATTAATTGCCTTTGACCAAGCCCAAAGACAAAGACTTCCTTGGTTACTAGAGTAACGTTCCACTGCTTCCAACGTCCCATCCGTCAGTGAGCGTTGCGGTGCTCGCAAAAATGAGGAGTCGACCTGCTTCGAGCAGAGATGGCCGTGGGAATCCTAACTGCTGGCTAGCTAGGAATAAGCTTTAGAGTTACATAGAGGGATGCGAGCCGTCCCATCGCCAATTCAGGCAGTCGGAACATGAGCTGCACTCAACTCGGTAAGGAAGTGAGTTGGCTAAGCTGTGTTTACACCCTTATCTAGCTAGCTAGACTAAATCTGTCTGAAAGGAGCGAGCACCAATGACCTTCAAATTACGTGTAGACTACACTGTAATGTAGTGTAGCTAGGAGGTGTTTGAAGGCGTTGGTGGCCTTGGGGCTGGCACCTGTGTGCAACCTTTAGCTTCTTCAGTTTTGGGATCAAAAAGTATGTTCCCAACGAGGAAAGGCCACTGCCGAGAGGCTTGCAGCAGTGGCCTGTTGGCTGCTGTTGTTGGCAGCCAGCCATTCATCGCCTCTGTCCATCTTCGGAAAGGGGTGGACCAGTCGAGCGTTCTGTCCATAGCATGGAATGGTGGATGCATTGTGATAGGTGGAGGTGTGGAAGTGGAGCAAAAGGAGCATGTGTGAGTTGACAAAGCTGTACTTTGAATATTCCATTCGATTGGCTGCCAGAGCAAAGGTGCTCTCACTCCTCTGGTCCCAGGGTTGGTTAGTCAACCAGTGGCTGAAAGGCTGCCTGGGGTCCTCGCTGAATAGCTTCACTTGCCCGTTTCAGAGAAGTGTTCCTTGGCCTGCCCCAAAGACCCGATGCATCTATCGGAGGCAGGAAGAGGTCACCAGCCAGTGCTGCCTTTTACCGATCCTTGCTGCCATATCCAAAGGTATCCAGCTCCAAGCAAGCTACGGTAGCATCATGGGGGCGGGCTAGCTAGATATACGGTAGGGAACACCTGGAATCAAGGCAATATTCCTCCTCTTCTTCTTCCTATCAGACAAAGGAACTCCAACAGAACCATATCAAAATTGCAAGCACCCAAGAGTAAAACAGCACGAAAACATCTGCAAAAATGGGTTGAATTTGCACGGCCACGTACTGGCACTGACCATCAATGCAATACTTGCATTTTCAAGAAAAGACTATCTAGCTAGCTAGCTAGAGCAAGGCCTTTTCATCGGCCATTGCCTGACAGGGTTGCCTTCTCAACAATCACGAGAAGATCCAGCACTCACCTGCCAAGTCTCGCTCCCAGCCAGACATGAGATGTGGGAGACTCCCTCATGCTCAAGATGAAGTTTCAAGAAGCATCTAGTAGCTAGCTAGCTAGCGATAGCCGGGTGTAGCAGCGATGATATTGACAACTCCGACAGCAGCGTATCAGCTGGGATTTCGATTTCATGCTTTCATCCGAATGCAATTGCATCGAGACGAAGTCTCAAGAAGGGGTGCGAGCAACCTGGGTGTGGTTTGGTGCCTTGACGAGATGCAGAACTCCATGCGGAAGCTGCCGTACAATCATCGACTGTACACCTCGTGATGTAAAACTCCTCAACAAAATGGGGTGAAAAGATCCGTAGTTGAGCATCTGAGTCAGAATGGTTCGGGGAACTCAATTAATGCTTCGGATCCCTCTTGCGAATCATCTAAAATAGCTTTTTGATAAAAGTCACCCGAGCACCGTACGATACCAGGAACTGCTACTGGTACCGTGACAATCAGCTGACCCCCCTTTAGCTAGTAGAACATCTTGCTACCCTGTTTGACGATACAGTAGAACAATTGCTTGTGTAGGAGGCTTCCATGCATCACCAAGAATGATATCCAACAATACAATCACAAATCAATGCTGGACGCACGGCAACGACAGTGGAAGAGTTTGGGCCATGCCGTTTTCAACCCTCTTGCTTTGTGGAGGTGTCAAGTTTGATTGGAGAGCCTTCTGGTTTTCATTCATTCATTCATCTCCCCTGTGTCGAGGATGACTTGTGTTGCACTGTGGTACAACAATAACGGTACATGTACTAGCAGTAGGACGAACCAGTGTAGCAATAACTTCAGGGTTGCAATCAGCGAATCTGAGGACGAGGCAGGGATCTTGGTCAAGGCAAAGCAAGCAAGATGAGCGAATGGATCACATATCGCTCCGAGAAAGGAATGATTCAATCAACCCAAGAGAGAGAGACGACGACAAAAGATCTGGCGGCAGCGGTGGTTCTTTCAGACGATGCATGATTTCACCACAGACGATGGATGCATCTCGAGAGATACGAGACTCTCCTGTCCTGTCGCTCGTCTCAGCCAGCCATGAGTCCAGGATGGCTGAATGATTCTTTCTGCTCGCTCCTCGAGTGAATGATCAGCCATGCTCTCGGAAGCAAACATCTCGAGAGTTGATCGAAAGATTGAGTGATGCATGTGGTCTTTGGTCGATGAGAGCACCTGCAGCTAATAAGATCGGCATTTGCATACTTACGGCACAGTATCTTGACAATAACCGAGCCTGGCTTCTATGATAGATATCTCTAGCTACTAGTCTACATAGAAGGTACCAGTACAGCAAGGTTCGATCTGTTCGACCGTCATCGAGTGACAGTCGAACCAGAGTTTACAGAAAGACACGTCATCCATGGACATGTCACTAACGCTGAAACGCAACATACGGGAACAACATGTTGCGAACCCTGACTACCGTATGGGAGTTTGTCTACTCCGATGGTTGATGCTTCCCAAAGTCTTCCAGCAGTTTGAAACTCGGAAGCAGGGTTGATATTTCCCGGAAGCCATGACGACATGGTGATGTCGATGTGGTGTCTTTTTGTTAAGTATCTTTCTTGACTCTTTTTGACTCCACCCAATCAAGTGGCTGTCAAGTATGATGCAATGAAACTGCCGGACATTGGCGCGAACGCGAAATGACAAAGTCCACCAATGGCCTGTTGGCATTTTCAAGAGCCAAGATTTTGCATTTGCCGAAACCACGCATCTGTCTACCTGCCTCGGGATCTTTCTCGCCATCAATTAATTTTGGGTAGCCTTCTTCTATGCAATTGAGAAAGCAACCCTACGATACGAGAGAAAGCAAGAGGAAACTAAAATTCAAAGAGACCACCCTGGAAAAAATAAAATAAAAGCTTTGCCATAATCTCCTCTTGAGCCACCTGGAAAGCCTCAAACTTCTCTCAGCTTTCTCTCTTTCTGTTGTCTCTATTTCAAGTCTAGTCAATCGAGTCAAGTCAATCAATCAAATACAGCCAATTTGATTGATTTCTATTGCATTGCAGTGAACTGAATTGAAAAAGAAAAGAAAACCAAGAAAAACTACTTGATTGCATCACGCACATCATCATGAGTACGAGCATGCTTCGCCCCATTTTCTCGGTTGCCGGTCGCAACGGTAGCCAAACAACTCGCCGCGCTGGACTTTCCGCTTCTCGCTCGTTTGCCACTCAGAGTGGAGATGACGCTGCGCCTCCCACGGCGTTGGCCAAGCTTCACTTGGAAGATGGAACCACTTTGACGGCAAAGTCTTTTGGTTGTCATGAATCTGTGGAGGGTGAGGTAAGCAAAAAAATTAATGAAATGATAAAAAACGGAACCAAAAATGGGTCATGAAAATCATTTTTGATTGTTTTGTTGTGTATGGATTTGATGGAGTGCAAGTGTTGAAAGTGTTGATGATATAAAATGGAAAATGTCTATCTTTGATGATCTACTGTGATTCTTTTGCTGAAAGTCATGAAACACCAAAAATTGTTCCATGCTGCATTTTTGGACACCTTGTTTGATTTTTATCTCAACTCACCAATACAAATATATGATTTTTGCTGCTCTGATTATGATTATGATTACAGGTCGTCTTTGCCACTGGAATGGTGGGATACCCCGAAAACTTGACCGATCCTTCCTACCAGGGACAGATTTTGACCGTCACCACTCCCATGGTCGGAAACTACGGTGTCCCCAGTCGCACGGAAATGGACGAGTTTGGGTTGCCTGCCAATTTTGAGTCGCACAAAATTCATGCCACCGGTATCCTCGTCCAGGATTACTCCCATCATTACAGTCATTGGAAGGCCACCTCCAGTTTGGGAGATTGGCTCAAGGAAGAAGGTGTTCCCGGTCTTTGTGAAGTCGATACCCGTATGTTGACCAAGAAAATCCGTGAAAAGGGTGCCATGTTGGGACGCATTGAAGTCGACCTCAATGCCCCTCCCCCGGATTTCTCCAAAATGCAAGATCCCAATGCCCGTCATCTTGTGGGAGAAGTCTCCCTCAAGGAACCCAAAGTGTACGGAAAAGGAAACAAGCACAAGGTCATTGCCGTCGATATGGGAATGAAGTACAATATCATTCGTCAATTGGTGCGCAGAGATGTTGAATTGACCGTCGTGCCATGGGATTACCCATTCGCCGCCGAAATGCACAAGTACGATGGACTCTTTTTGTCCAATGGACCCGGAGACCCGAATATGTGCACGGCAACCGTCGAAGAACTCAAAAAGGTCGTTTCCTGCCCTGACGAAGAAGTCAAGCCCATTTACGGTATTTGTATGGGAAATCAATTGATTGGATTGGCCGCTGGAGGTACCGCCGAAAAATTGCCATTTGGAAACCGTGGACAGAATCAGCCAGTGCTCAACCACCAAACCGGAGAGTGCTACATTACTCCTCAGAACCACGGATTCCACATCAACACGGAAACCATGAGGGACGAGTGGAAGACTCTCTTTACCAACGCCAACGATGGAAGTAACGAGGGTATTGCCCATCAGACTCGTCCGTATTTCACTGCGCAGTTCCACCCCGAAGCCAACTCCGGGCCCACCGATACCGAGTTCATGTTTGATGTATTCCTCGAGGCATGCGGAAAACCCCTCGACAAAATCATCTTTCCTACACGAAAGCCCGCTCCACCAAAGCCCAATGTCAAGAAGGTGCTCATGTTGGGATCCGGTGGTACTTCTATTGGACAGGCCGGAGAGTTTGATTACTCGGGAGGTCAAGCCATCAAGGTTCGTAAAAAATGCTGACCAAATCCTTAACCCTAACACTTCCGTGAAAGGCTCGCGCTCACGCTTTTTCACTTTTTGGTTGTTTGCAGGCTCTCAAGGAGGAAGGCATGGAGGTTGTCTTGATGAACCCCAACATTGCTTCGGTCCAAACCAACATGGACAACAAGTCCGCCGCCAAGGCCGACCACGTCTTCTTCTTGCCCGTCACTCCTGATTTCGTCGAAGAGGTCATCAAGAAGGAAAAGCCCGATGGTATCGTCATCAGTATGGGAGGGCAGACTGCACTGAACTGCGCCGTCGAAATGTTCGAAAACGGAATCTTTGAAAAGTACGGAGTCGAAGTCTTGGGAACCCCCGTGCCTGTTGTCATTGATACCGAGGATCGTCAGCTGTTCAGTGACAGGCTCAATGAGATCAACGAAAAGATTGCCGAGTCCTACACTGCCGTCACTGTCGATGAGGCTATCGGACACGCCAAGAAGATTGGATACCCTCTCATGATCCGTTCTGCCTTTGCATTGGGAGGTTTGGGAAGTGGTATCTGCCACGACGAGGACCACTTGAGGGATATGGCAAACAAGGCCCTCAGTACCTCTCCCCAAATCTTGGTCGAGAGGAGTATGAAGGGATGGAAGGAAGTCGAGTACGAGGTTGTCCGTGATACCATGGACAACTGTGTCACCGTCTGTAACATGGAGAACTTTGATCCTCTTGGAATCCACACTGGAGACAGTATCGTCATGGCTCCTTCTCAAACTTTGAGCAACGAAGAATACCACATGCTCCGTGAGACTGCTCTCAGGGTACGCACGCTGCGCACACGTTGTTGGATACTGCTGCCGTTGGCGTTCATCATTCATTATTTACTCACCCTTTCTTCGCCCTGATTTCATTCGAACAATAGGTTGTCCGCCATCTTGGAATTGTTGGAGAGTGTAACATTCAGTACGCCCTTCACCCAGAGTCGCTCGAGTACTGCATCATCGAGGTCAACCCCCGTCTCTCTCGTTCGTCCGCCCTCGCCTCCAAGGCCACTGGTTATCCTTTGGCCTTTGTCGCCGCCAAGTTGTGCTTGGGAATTCCTTTGACTGAAGTCATCAACTCCGTCACCAAGAAGACCCAAGCGTGCTTCGAGCCCAGTTTGGATTACGTCGTCACCAAGATCCCCCGTTGGGACATGTCCAAGTTCGAAGGTGTCTCCACGGAGATTGGATCTGCCATGAAGAGTGTTGGTGAGGTCATGAGTATTGGACGTACCATCGAAGAGACTCTCCAAAAGGCCATGCGTATGGTGGACCCCGCCGTTCCTGGATTCGAGCCGAAGCACGTCTACGAAACCATGGAGGACTTGAAGAAGGAACTTGCCATTCCTACCGACAAGCGTCTCTTTGCCATTGCCCAGGCTCTCCACGAGAAGACCCTGAGCGTCTCTGATATCCATGAAATTACCAAGATTGACCACTGGTTCTTGCGCCGATTGGAAAACATTGTCAAAACATGGAACAAGATGGAGTTGGTCACTTTGGATGAGATGTCCAGCGACCTCATGCTCGAAGCCAAGAAGAACGGATACTCTGATATTCAGATCTCCCACGCAGTCAAGGGAGGATCCGATGAAGACACTGTCCGCCAGAAGCGTATCGGCATGGGCATTGAGCCTCACACCAAGCAAATCGATACTCTTGCCGCCGAGTACCCCGCCGATACCAACTACCTGTACATGACCTACCACGGTTCCGAGAGTGATGTTGACTCTGCCGATGGTGGTGTGATTGTTTTGGGAAGTGGTGCCTACCGTATTGGTTCTTCCATCGAGTTTGATTGGTGTGGAGTCAGTGCCATCCGATCCCTCCGTCAAATGGGATACAAGTCGACCATGATCAACTACAACCCCGAGACTGTGTCTACTGATTACGATGAATGCGACCGTCTCTACTTTGAGGAGCTCAGCCGCGAACGCGTCCTTGATATCTACAACCGTGACAAGTCCGACGGTGTTGTTGTCAGTGTTGGAGGACAGATCCCCAACGGTCTTGCTTTGCCTTTGGACGCAGCTGGTGTCAAGCTTCTTGGAACTCCCGCTGCCATGATTGACAATGCCGAGGATCGATTCAAGTTCTCTGATACCATGGATGAGATTGGAGTCCAACAACCTCGCTGGCGTGAACTCTCCAGTGTCGACAATGCCTTGGACTTTGCCAAGGATGTCGGATACCCTGTTCTTGTCCGTCCTTCCTACGTCCTGAGTGGAGCTGCCATGAACGTGGCTTGGAGCGACGAACAGCTCCGCGCTTGCTTGACCGAAGCCGCTGAGGTTTCCGCCGACAAGCCAGTTGTCATTTCTGATTTCATTGAAGGTGCTGTGGAGATTGAATTCGATGGTGTCGGCAAGAACGGAGAGATTATTGCTGCTGCCATTCACGAGCACATTGAGAATGCCGGTGTCCACTCTGGTGATGCTACTTTGGTCTTGCCCGCCCAAGACTTGAGTGCCTACCAAAAGTTCCGCGTCCGTGATGCTGCCAAGAAGATTGTCAAGCGCTTGAACATTACCGGCCCCGTCAACATTCAGTTTGTTGCCAAGGGAACTGATGTCATGTGCATTGAGTGCAACGTGCGTGCCTCTCGTTCATTCCCCTTTGTCTCCAAGACTATGGGAGTTGACTACATTGAAGCTGCCACTCGCGCCATGGTGGATGAAGACACATCTGATATGAATCTTCCTACTTTGGAGAACTGTGACGGCCCCAGCCAGTACGTTGGAGTCAAGGCTCCCATGTTCTCGTTCACTCGTCTCCGTGGATCTGATCCTGTCCTTGGAGTGGAGATGGCGAGTACCGGAGAGGTTGCCTGCTTTGGCGCCAACAAGGAAGAAGCCTTTTTGAAGAGTTTGATGTCTACCGGTTTCAAGCTCCCCAAGAAGAACATTCTTGTTTCGGTGCAGGACACTCTTCAATCCGAGTTTACTCACTCTGCGTGGGAGCTGCACGAGATGGGCTACACACTGTACGCCACCCGCAACACTGCCGAAGTGCTCGAGAAGAACCGTGTCCCCTGCAAGGTGGTTGCCTACCCCACCGAAGGCGACTCGACCTCGGAACCGAATGTGATTGACATGATCAAGAACGATGAGTTTGGTCTCGTCATTAACATTCCCACCCACAAGTCGAAGCGTTTGGAAGACAACTACCAAATGCGTCGTTCAGCGGTAGACTACGGTGTCCCTCTTTTGACCAATATGAACTTGGTCAAGTGTTTCTCGGATGCCATGTACAAGTACAAGAAGGAAGGCATGGTGGCGTTGGAACCCAAAACTTTGTTTGAGCATTACAAAAAGGAATCCGATGCGGATGCCTGGACCGACCCAACCGAGTTCCATTAGAGATCATGTTGCTTGTGGGAAGCGAGGTTGTGTGTCCGCTCTTGGCTGACCGACTTGGTTATGCTTGGAGAGAGAGAGAGAGAGAGAGACAAGATGATTGTTCTTTGTGTTGCTGCTGTTTGTGTTGGTGCTTTGGATCAAGTTGCCTCTTACGAAATCGCCCATTTGCTCGCCCAGTGGTCTCTGGCTGGTGAGGATGGCTGCCTCATCATTAGAACTGTTGGAGTGACGGAAATATTAGATTCGATTCATATACTTTAGGTAGGAGGCAATAACATTTTAAAATTAGTTACATGAAATAAGAAATAAATTAGCATGAAGAGAAGAGAGAGAGTTTGGCATGGACCAAGAGCGTGTGGTCAGGGCGAGGAAAGTGACTTTAATAGAGGTAGATGCGGTAAACCTAGGGTTAAGTGCAAATAGGTTAACGCTATAATTACCTCAACTACCGTGAAAAAGATATCTTACAGAAAACCGAACCCCATCTGGATTTTTTGTTCTTCACGTGTAACTTCTGGCGGCCAACAGAATTCTTCAGGCTCAGCCGACAAGCCACAGCAATCCATCACAAATCCTAACATCCTCGTGAAGCTACGGTACGGTACCAGAAAGATGACGTTCGATCGTTTGTTTGACGACGATGGTTGGCTTGAAGAGGCGACTGCAGCGCTCCGGATCACTCAGTTTTGCAAGATGTCGTTGATGTCGGACAAAGAGGTGATCCGTCGCGTAGTTGAGCTCAAGCAGCGTGGAAATCAACGACCTACCGGTACAGTGGAAGAGCGCCGTCAAGACGTGGAGGAGGTGTGCATCTTGATGGATCAAATCCGTGATCGCCAAGCCACCAAACTGGAAGCCGACTGTCGCGAGCAACAAGCCATGAACGTCTTGCTCCAGAATGGGTTCCAGTATGAAGACTTGCGCTACTAGTATCTTGAAACCATCAGTCCGGTGGCCGAAACTCTCAAGAAGCGTGTTCTAGCCAAGAAGATGGAAGCTGTCCTAGGTGTTGAGGCCATCTGGCTGCTCTTCTGCTATGGAGCATATCTGCAAACAAGGATGATGGATACTTGCGCCGTCTTGAAGCCATCAGTCAGGCGGCCGAAACTCTCAAGAACCACAAGGAAGCCAAGAAGACGGCCTTGTCCAACTTGCTGGATGCTGAGGACGTTTGGAAGAATTTCATTTTCCCCTCTTTGGGCGTGGGCCACTACGCATTTGTCGGTCGTGTCAACAGGCGCTTCAATGTCCTCTACAGAGAGTACTGCGAGACCTACCAGAATACGAACGATCCACCTGTGGCCTTCTACAACGTCATTTGTGCACGATATTTCCTCGACGACGCCTCCCCCAGTGTTCCGAGTCGTGAGCAAGTGTGTCCGGCCATTGCCAAGTGTGGAAGTCGGGCTGTCATGGAGTGGGCCAACGAAATGGCGGCCAAACACAGCCATGTGGGTCTGATTCAGTGGACACGAAACACCAACCTCTATCCAACCAAAGAGTTGTTCCGTGCCAGTGTGGAACTTCAACTTCGGGGTTTTGTTGCCGGAGCCAATCACCAGAACGTACGTGTAAGTCGCCGGGACAAGGTCAAATGGGCTCATTGCAATGGTTTTGCCTGGCATGCCAACATTTGTACGGCCGCTGCCGAAGGAGGCCATCTCCATAGCTATTTTGAAATGGGCTCGTCGCCACGGATGTCCCTGGGATGAGTCAACTTGCATCGCAGCAGCTGCAGCGGGTCATTTGCACATTGTGCAATGGGCATGTGTCAATGGATGCCGATTCTGTATTTGGTCAACTTGCACTGCAGCAGCCAGAGCCGGTCATCTGGCCATTCTTCAATGGGCTCGTGAAAATGGACTCCATTGGAATGAAGAAACCTGTGCCGCTGCGGCGAGAGGTGGCCATCTAGCCCTGCTTCAGTGGGCTCGTGCCAACCATTGTCCCTGGAATGAATATACCTGTGCTGCCGCGGCGGGCCGCGGTCATCTGGCCATTCTTCAATGGGCTCGTGCAAACCATTGTCCGTGGACTGAAGAAACCTGTTTCGCTGCGGCCCAAGGCGGTCATCTGGCCATTCTTCAATGGGCTCGTGCAAACCATTTTCCTTGGAATCAAGATACCTGTACCGCTGCGGCCCGCAAGGGTCATCTGGCCATTCTTCAAGGGGCTCGAGCCAACCATTGTCCCTGGGATTGGAAGACACGTCTTTGGAGCCGAGGGCACCCACAAGTACTACAGTGGGCGATTGAAAATGGCTGTCCAGCATGACAATAATTCGGATACGATGCAGGGCCACCACAAACCATTTTGGTTAGCTCAACGAAGGGTCCATGACATCTATTTTTCACCAGCGACTTGGAGCAGCTGGTGGTCCGCCAATTGAAGCAGATCCACGAGACACGTTTCTCGTTTGTGCAAGTGTTTACATACCAGTAGGAGATACCGTAAAATGATAAAGAATATTCTGTGTAAAGCAGTGTCCACTGGTGGGCATGTACGGTAGGCGACCATGCAACCCATTGATTCATTCAATTCAAACAGCACCCATCTCCGTAGAATTCTTGGGAACTGGAACTTTGAGCCAGTGTACCGGTTGCAAACCAGATACCAGATACGGTGGTACGATGAGCGACTTCCTTCCGCCAGCCAACCACGTTCGGGATCGTATGCAAAATCTCTCGTCACTCCAGAGCTGACTTTTCCCTCTAGCTAGCTAGGCCTAGCTAGGGGACTCCAAACAACATGACGATAGTGATCCTCGCTATGCAAGGATGATGCCCTGAAGAACCATCACCTTGGGAAGGTACCGTACGAGGTGCCATTGTGTCTGTGCAGAATTTTGCAAACCATGGGAGCCCTCTGCAGCAGCTTGACTTGGCTTTGGCAGCCTGACAATCTGCTACTAGCTATCTAGCTGCATCGGAGCTATCCAGCTGCATCGGAGCTAGCTAGCTGCATCGGGGCTATTGACACAGTCGCGGTGCCGAGTCGAGCTGTGTCCTCATCCTTCATTCCGCATGGAGTATAGGCGGCGGCTCTTGTCATGCACTGGTGAGCTACTGGTGTCACTTCCTTGTGCAGCTGGCAAACCGGTACACGTGCCCGATGCACCAAAGGAATTAGACTTCATGAGAAGATTTAAAAGGCACTTTCTATCCTCAGGTCTATAATAGTAAAGTTCTGGTGAACTGACGTGCCATCGATCGCAAAGCAACCTCGTCACTCGTCACTCGCCACTCGCATTGATGTCTTTGTTCATTGTTTCTTTTTTTGGATTCGTACCTCGACCATACCGGTATCAAGATGATGTATGCAACCTCCTCTTTCCAGCGGCTATTGCTACTCCACCATGACCGGCTCCTCTTGTGTCGTTCGATCCATACGGTAGGCTGGTAACGATGACTTCTTCCTTCTTCCGTTCGACGCATCTTTCACGTTGTGGTGGGACCGCAGGCATACCGGTATACTCAGGCTGGTTGCCATCTTGGAAGCAGCCTCCGACATGTCAATCGACCAATCACGTACCTTTGCCGATAGTTTGGCGTTTCAGTTTGAAATAAAACGGCAATCAACGACACCTCCATTTTGATTTTGATTTAGTTTTGATGTTGACACCTCTTTCGATTTTGAGTTGATGAAACGACGGTTGCCTTGAGGCAAGCTTTTTCGCTCTCAGCACAACACAATCACTTATTCTTCTTCCAATGCATGACGATGACACCTTTGCCGGTGCTGCTTGCAGGAGAGTGATTGGGCTTCCCCTGTGGGGCCCACTGTTCACTCTTCGCCGGCAATGGTGTTGTCTTGCGGTGGTTCCTTTGTGGGGTGGGTCGTCCTCGTGCAACGGTAAGTCGACGTGTTCCTGTCTTTTGTGCCATTGCTACTTTCACGGTCATCGACCAATCGTTGCAGCCTCATCCTCTTTAGTTCCCAACGTAGGTCTTGGCATGGTGGCGGCCGTTCGTGTTCCAGTCTCATCCACAACAACGGGTTTTGGTCCACGATGCATGACATTAGTAGTTCTTTGCTCTTCGGAGTCAACATACACGTCGTTGGAAGGGGTTGGCGGGCACTCGCGAGGGTGTTCGTCAGCTTCTTCGCTGAACAAAGTGACATGCATGCATGCATGCATGCATACGTCTTGCTTTTGTTCTTAGCTCAAGTCTAGCCATTCGTTTTTCATTCTGCCTTCCATTTTAGAGAACAAACAAGGTCAGTTCACATTTTTCTCTCGCAGACTCTCAAATGGTGCCATTTTCCGGTGCCCCTTGGAGCTGCTTCGAGCCTAGAAGAAGCGTGAATAGGCGGCCATTTCATGAGTCCGTTCACCTCATTCTTCGCCGGAACATGGTACCCTTAACAGCGTTCACTTCTTCTTTATGTTATTGCAACTAGTCTTCCAACCGTCCTTCTTTTTGTTCCTTCGTCGACGACATTGGTTTTTCGTGCTCGAGTCTCAAAGCCGGTCGAGTCCAGCTAGTTTCGCTCACTGACTGTCACTCTCACCATGGTGATGGATCCGCAAGTAGCCTACCGGTACCGTAGCTAGCCAGACATGACCATATGGGATGATGCAGTGCGTGATGGGCCGGACGATACGACCTGACCTCGCCAGCCAGTGCGGGAAGAACCTGACGCCCTTACTGCAGTGGGGTGCATATCAGTGGGCCAGCCACGAGAAGGTGCAGCAGTGCGTGAATTGCAGCCTAGATTGGCTTCCCAAGAGCTAGCCAGTCCACAACGAGCTTCTGGTACGATGCCTCAGCCTTGTGATGGCTTGCATTCTTGCTTGCTTCTCTTCCATTCTCGCCAAATGCAGTCAGAGGCAGCATCAGACTTGGTTTCAGATTCAATTCAGACAGAGCAACCGGTGCCGCTAAGTCCGGCTAATAGCTGCCAGCAACTAGGGCTTCGAGCATTGATTCTTTTATTATTGTTTTGTCCTCCTTTCCTTGCCTTTCTGTCAGCTGTGCAGGATCGAAAGCAAGCTTTTCACTGGAGTTGCTGCAGCCCTGCCTCATGCATCTCCCATGTCTGCTTGATGGATACATCCCGGTCCCTGCATGGCTAAGGTACTACGTACGTGCATGACAATCTGACACTTCACGCAAGTTACGGGTTCGATGGCGCAGCCAAACCAAACCAGGAACTATGAAAGATCCTGTCCTCTATCTGCATTGTGATCAGTAAAAGAGCTCTCAGCTCTGCAAACATGTTCGGGTACTCTTGCAGATTGCAGAGTTTGGTGTGCTCTGCTGATGAAGCACCAATCGTACTTAGACTCGGTTGCCCGACTGGGACAGTCTTCTACAACAGCTGCATTCAACTTCAAAACCGGATTGATTCGATTCTGTCTGTCTGGGATTTGGGTTGTACTGTATGTTGTACTTCGGCACGGATTACCAGTACAGTCCAATGTACCGGATGGGATTTAATGTCCGTGCTTCTGGAAGCTCTTTTGGAGCTCTTCTCTCTTGTCTTTCTATTGCTACTGTACTATTGCTCGCAGTGTCTTAACGAATATACTCGAGGAGTATTGTTTACTAATAGTACCACCTGGTACCTGGTACCGTACTTCTCTATCGGCAGGCAGATCCAGGTTACCGGTTACCATTGCCATTAAATTTTTGCGACTGGACTTTAAATCCTCCTTTTACGACCACCCCTGCATACAGCTGCAAACGAACTGCTTACCGGTGTGAATTATTGATCGAGAAGCTACTAGTATCGAGATCACTATCGAATTCCCAATCGTCACCATTCACCTCCTCACACCTCACAGTGGTAGCGTGGTAGCACTTGGTCTGGAACAAGTTCCGTCCACTCACCTCTCACAAAATCACAAAAGCAACATCCGAAAACCACACGGAATAACTAACATGCAACTCTCTGAGAAAACCAACACAATGACCAGCCCTTCTATCACTACCACTGCCTCCTCCACTCTCAACTCCAAGAGCTCATCTTTGATTCTTTGGACAGCACTGGTAATAGCTCCAACCACAACAGTTCAGCCGCCAAAGCAAGAGCTGCCAGCAGAAGGCGCCTCAGCCGCAGTGTGAATGCAATGGACGCGATGCGGGGTTCTACCAGTACTACCGGCACCGGTACTCAACGCGGTTTGCTTTCTCGAAGCATGACAGTGGAGGGTACATGTAGAAGCAGCACTACTATTAATAAGAGCCCTCCTCGTAAGCAGAGAAGCAACGTGAGCAATGACGGCAGCAGCAACGGTCGCAAGTCCCGCAACAAATCCGTGCGAGGCTCCAAGTCTCTTTCCCCCAAGCGAAGTACTAGTGGAGGAGGCTTGGATTCCCACCAAGTCATTGACATGCTGGAACAAATGGCAGTAGCCGACGACACCAAGGCGGATGCCTACTTCCAGCTTCTCAAGAACAGTGATGGCCGCCCCAGTAGTAGGCGAACCAGTAGGTCTCCCAAGAGGTCGAATACCAAGACTCCGTTGGCAGCATAGACCATATGCAGCAAAACACAAGGGCGAACTCTTATACCATACCATAGACTCTATAATGCAACGATGAATTTCATATCTACGCTCTCGACTCACTCTGGAGTTAGTACGTGGTGGAGGTATCACGGTGCATACCGGTACGGTACCAGTACTACGGTACGGAGAGCACTTGCTCAGCCAGACCGCCTAGCTAGATCACAGGCAGGCCAATCAGTGCGCTGCAGAGCAGAAACATTGAGACAGTGGAGTTTGAAACGAGTTTGAAATGCTATACCGTACAGTCGTACCGTCAGTTAGTCCCGTTTCCTGTACCGGTACACCCCCACCCACCATTCCAAAATTGGTCCCCACATTCCAAAATTGGTCCCCATATTCCAAAATTGGTCCCCACATTCCAAAATTGGTCCCCCCTACCAAAACACACTGTCACAAGCAAGGATCCGGGGGACCGGTACCGGTACCCACAAGAGATCCTTGACGTCACCCTCTGCGCTCTGACATGTAGCTGACCAGCGATGAATTCTTGGAACCAGGAGCTGCAGCTCAAGTCAAGCTGGTGCCCTCGATGCGAATCAATCCAAACAAGAGAACTATGATCGCTCCTCTCCCTGGGCCGTGGCGCAAAGACAGCCTCCTGCGATTCATTCGATTCATTCATTCATTCGTTCGTTCGATTCATGAAGAGGTTCAATCAATAAATGTGGATTTGTGCCAGCATGAACCTCCTTGACAAGCTAAGCCATAATGGTTTTTCATGGATCTGGCTGAGCAAGTGCTCTCCGTACCCATAGGCTGAGGAATCGGTCGCCGTCGCCGTCGCTTGGACTGTCACTCTGGGTAATTCGCATCTTTCGCTTGCCCATTCCTACCGTACCGGTATCAATGCTTCAAGAATGGGCTTCTGGACTTCTTCACGACTCGACTCTCTTTTCCGTGGAACCAAACATTAGATAGATTTCTTTTGATGAGGTTGATCTTCCACTGGAAGTTTACTATTTGATTCTCTCCATTGCCAAAGTCGTAACCAACAAGAAGCGAACCGATCAGTGCTCCAGTTCCAGCATCGACCCAAATCCAACCAATCTTATGTTCGAGTGGACCCCGGATTCTTCTACAAGTTCCTTGGACCACCGTCGTGTCCACTTGGCTGCTCCCAGCCTTCCCAAACTTGGAAGAGATTTACGTGGACCCTCGCAATGACTGACCATCATAGACTGCTTGCAGGCCAAGAAAATAAAAAAGCTCACAATCGGTGGCGACTGCGAAAAGGTTCTGGCTACAACGCCTGCTGCCCTGTTCCACCCCTTGGCCCAAGTCCCAAGCACTCTGGAGGAGCTCCATCTGGACATGTTTTACTGCGCTCCTTCTTTCTGCGAGGAGCCACAACATCGAACTGTACACCAAGCTCAATCAAAATGGCCTCCTCGCCATGCTCGAGCTTGAACGCAACAGCCCTTGTTTTTGGATCTATGCTCTGGGCCTCTTTCCGGATGACCTGGATTGTCGATTCACATTGCTGCAGATCAATCCCATGCTCTGTCAAATGGGGTCTCTGAAATAAGTGGTAAGGCTCATCCCTTACGGCTGGACGTGTCTTGTATGTTCCCCTTTTTCGTTCAGTCTCTGACCATCTGCGAATTCAGTACCCCGAATGAATGATCAGACTTTGAACTCTGATGGGGATCGGTTCCGTGAGGACTCGGAAAGATACTGTGAACATCGCTTGGGACGACAGGCACTAGTTACTCACCCTTTTGGTTGAGACATGGTGGATGCTCTGGGCCTCTTTTCTGTTTTTGCTGGTGTCGGGTTTGCTCTTGATGGTGCCGGTAGGACCTCCGTGGAACTACTATGCGGCAAATAAAAACTAAATTCATGTTCTAGATTTGATTGACAAAGCATACCGGTACATGTATGATAAATGACTCGTTCTTCCTACCGTACCGCACGGTATTCTAATTGTTGTTTCGAATAGCCATTGTCGAAATCGACCAAGTCCTCGACGACCCACTTGTATACATGCCGGAACACGAGAATCCCCAACCAAACTCTAGCTAGAAAATACCAATGGAGGGATGAATCCAATCCGATAGTAGGATCCGTTCGAGATCTCTCGTGTGCAGTATTGTTTGTTCAGGATGGAGATAGAGCTGGAGATTGGACGATAGTGATCATCGGTATCCTCGCATGGCGTCCTCAGGATCCATCAGCCGTTTCCGCCTTGCCGAGCTTTGGCGTCGGCCTTTTCCTCCTCCCAGAGAAGCTTTTGCCATTTCAAGATCGCCATGACCGGCGTCATGTTGCATTCATTCGCAGGTACTGTGTATTGCCATTGGGATCGGCTCCACCATTTTGGCCAGGAGAGGCGTGGTGAGATGTCTTTCAACTAGAAATGCAGTCAACGCCTCTTGCTGTACCGCATTTCAAGAGAAGAGGCACATAGTGGCATGGGAAGAACCGCATCTTCTCCGTTGGTGCCATCTGTATCTTCACCCACACCATCCTCTCTTCATTTACCATCTCGCCAAACTGGAAGCCGTATCAACTTTGTGACTGCTTGTTCTCCCCGGGAATCGAATCACTCATGCAAGTGCCTCTTGGTTGCCTCCAGTTAGCCCATGTTCCAAGGCCGTCCATCGATTTGGTACTCTTTCTCAGTAGTTGTTCCACATGTCTATATCGAGCTGCCTTCTCGACACAGGCGATCCCGGCTGCTTCCAGGTCATCCTTTGTGTGCTTCCTGCACTCGGGAACAGATTGGATTCGATTCGATTCTCAAGAACTAGCTAGCTAGCGGTAGCGATACCGGCTATAGCTGGTAAGATCGTGAGAAGGAATGACGATCCCTGCAATTGCCACAACCAAACGGCCAATTGCATTCCCTTTGCAAACTGCCACCAGGGTGCGCAAGAAGGTGAGGTGTGGTGGCACTGGCAACGGTTGTTCGAAGACAAAAGATCCAAGTTAGATCTAATTGCCACGATTGGGTGTCACCTTGACACCCGACAAAGCTGCAAACATTGCTATGGCAGTGCCGCACCGAAGTACGAAACAACTGTTTGACGGATGATCCAGGGCACCAGTGTGACTTGAGTTGCAGCCCCTTGCTGGTTCAAATGAATAAGTAATAGACTAAGTGCAAGGCTGGCCACCAAACGAGAGCGCAGAACCTGTAAGCTCGACTGCGAAGTAGCTAGCCAGATGACAGCCAGGAAACAGAGCATGACGTCAAAGGTCTCTTACGGGCGTACTAGTACACGCGGTTACGGGGGGGGAGCTTGCATAGACTGGCAACCTCTGGTCTTGCTTCGCCCTTTCGTAATGCACACGATTAAAAGTCTACTAGCTAAAGTTCTAGCTAGTGCCCTGCAACGGAGCTGTCTTTCGTAGTGACTGACTGCATGGGTAGCGCCTAGAATCTCTGGTGCATTGAACCATACTCTTTGCAACAACTAGACTGAGTAAGCTACCGTATAGAGCATCTATTGCTATATATTAGCTACTGTAACTAAAGCCTTTTCCTACAGCGATTTCGTTTGTATCCGTAGAGAGGAGGACAAATCATGATGATACTCGTCGTCGTCATTTGCACCATCCCTAGCATTGCTAGTAGTATTCTTGCATTTGTCGATCTGATCTGCCCGGTATGCCATGTCCCCAGGAACACCGGTAACGACCATGTACATTGCCTCTGCCAAACCTTCCTTGCAGATGGTCTTGGCAGTTTTCCCTTGCATCTTTCTCTCGCACTCGGATCTCCAAATCCTACGGGCTTCATCGTCGCAAGTCTTTTGTGTCTCCCCAAGGCAATTGGAGTAGCTGCATCCATGCATGCCAAAACAATACGGTAGGTAGTGGTTGGGTGAGACAATTGGCCTGGCTCAATTCGACTTGTAATTGACATTAGTTAGTTAGAACACGCTGTACAGTACGTACCAATAGTCATGGTTGGTGCAACCAAGTCCCATTCCCGTCCCTTGTTCCACAAGTCTGGTCAAGAACTCAGGAAGCGATGCTGGACCACAGCCATTGGCATCACCGATATCGCCACGCTTTTGTCGGTCTGGAGCAACCACTAGGGTACCCAGGTCAATCAGGGGATCCTGGGTGCAGTTCCAATGGGTATCTGTATACATCTACATATATATATTCAAATGAGAAAGACAGCGTGGGCGTGGTGAGCTTACGAGGTCCACGATGCACGATGCACGATGGTTCTGTTATGTATACCCACGGTGAGGATAGGTGTTGCTGTGGCCATGGAGTCGCTTGACATGACCTTGCAGATGATATTTGGATTTGGGTGTCTTGAGTCCAACTCTCCTATTACAATGCCATACTCTAGTTCCGCCACCCCATCCTTTCCCGTTGTCGCCGGACTGGTAATGGCGGTTTTACTAGAAGCATCCTGGTCATAGCACTCCACCGATGCTCCCTCCAAAGGCGTCGTTTCCCCAAACTCGCCTAACAGCACGCTCAGCTTGATGATCCCTCCATCAGCCGAGGCAGCTGTAACAGTACATGTAACACAAGACATCCACGCCATGGCGGCAAGAGCACAACGCAACATCGATATCATCAGCTTCATCGTGAATTCTTGCTGTTTGATTAGATTATGAGATTATGAGATAAATTTTGTGAGGGTTATTCGCGAGCTGCTGTTTTGGAAAACTACTAAGTGCATGTAAAAAGGGCTGTAAAGGGGGGCCTGGCCAAATAGATGCAACGAAGTCTTGTATGGCATAAAGACATTTCTCTAACTCTATCTTTGTCTTCTAAAGTGTTCGTGCCTGGATTACCTAGTAGTACCGTGGAACTCTTTGGCATGGATCCATTGTTTCTACCTGGTAAGGTGTACATGCTGGACAAGAAAGTACGAGTCGTGGCCCTCACTCCTGCGAAATGACTGGCACTCCCATTTTACAGTACTATGGCCAAAACAATTGTCCAAAACGATGCCACATTACTTGCCCAGATTTGTATGTAGACAATAACAGATATTACGTGGATGACACTATGAAACGTTATTAGCCAAATAGTGCTGTTTTTATATATATAATGGAAATGATTGGCCAATAAATGGACAAGGGTTGGCAGTCAATATCTTTTGTAGCTAATCTAGGCCAATCGTAAACTAATCCATCTTCCTGCTTAGAAAAGAGGACAACAACTTCGTAACTTGCTCGGCTGGGACACCGTATCATCGATAAACCGAAACATGAGATGTTTTAAAGTAGTGACCAACGGTCTTTTGTGGTCACTGTAAGTAATAATGTTTTACTTCACAGTTTAGGCCTATCTACTAGCTCGCTCGCTATCGTTGGCCAAAGATGTTATCGAAGCCACTGTAGCTGGAGGACCTGTGATGAGAAAACTAAACACAAAACACAAGTGCTGGGGGCCAAGGCTTGTACGGTAGGGATTGGAGTGCTGGGGCCAGCTCCTTGGGCAACACAAGTGTTGGAAACTCTTCTGCACACTTCAGCCAGCCAACAGTTCTTGCTTGCAGGGCTTGTACTACCTGGTTGTGCTGAGGCTTGCCAGCTACTGGTAGCCAGGGAACTCCAGTGCTGGGGCTTGCCAGCTCCCTTGTAATGGTTCTTGGAGTGAGTGCTAGAGTGCTGGACTGGCGCCAACTTTTGTGAGGCTGCAGTAACGGGCGCAACCTGTGGCCAATCCTTGTATGGCCATGCTGGGCTAGCTCCTGGGGCAACACAAGTGTTGGGAAACTCTTCTGCACACTTCAGCCAACAGTTCTTGCAGGGCTTGTACGATGTACCTCGTAGTGCTGGGGCTTGCCAGCTACTGGTAGCTAGGGAACTCCAGTGCTGGTGTGCTGGACTGGCGCCAACTATTGAACTAGCTATTGTGAGGCTGCAGTGATGGGCGCAACCTGTGGCCGTGGCTTTGAACTGAACTGTTACAGAATGCTACCTACCGTATGCCCAGCTGATGCTGCACCAACTAAATTTGGCTTCCCCGAAGACCAAAGGCGCTTCCCAAGGCTTGAAGAGCTTTGAACATTGCTTTCAAGCTACCGGTAGCTGGGTACCGGTACACAAGAAGAACCAACTCCCACCACATCGACAACTGGATCTTTTTGAAGCAACGAGCCAGGTACCAGTCAAGCCCCACACATCGCTCGTACTAGCTAGTAGGCTCATGTTTTAGCTCAAGTCAGGTGATTTCACCTGGCGACCGTGGCGATGAAACCCACTCCTAGAAAAAGCTCGGAAACACTAAAGACTCGACTCAATTGCAGCCCAGCCCTTGCATTATGAACTGAATTCAATCTCCCCAAAGCAAGCTCCCAAAGGGAGCAACATTGGATTGACTTTACTTGCTTGCTTGAAGGTGGAAAAGTTTGTTTGCATTGGCCACGGCCGAAGCAGAGTTATAAGTTGAAGAGCTAGCAGCAGGCAATCCAATGGTCCAAATGGAATCCCATGGTCGCTCGATGGTACTGGGGCCATCTACATGTATGAATTGCTAAGAACCAATGGGAACGGAAGAGACCATGAAGAACAGAAGGACCAGAATCGATCCGACAGTATCTATCGTGGATGACTATTCTTTGATGAGTGACAGTCTTTTGAATTGAAAAGAAAATGCACTTACTAAGCCTACAAATTATTACTGCCGTTGTGTGGTCCCAATACTTTTTGCCCCAAAGAGTTTATTGTGTGGATTGGTTCTTTTTTGCTTTGCTTTTGTTGAAAGCACAGCGCTGACGACGAACGGAAGGGTTGCACGGAAGTTGGAGCGACTATACGCAAGAATGAATCCGTACACAACAGAGTTACTCCACGCTGTTGGAATCCATGCTGCTAGAGCCATTCTTCGTGCCCACAGTTCGCTTGTTGTTGGGATTGTTGTTGGTGTCATCACTGTCCTCCACATCCAAATCGAAATCATTCTGATGTACTTCTTCCAGTACCTTGTCAAAGGACGGCGACATGGAAATCATTGCCACTGCCACCAAAAAGAAGCACACGGTACAAATGAGACCGTACTTTTGATCGACATTGGCTTCGACCAACAGTGTGAACATTAAAGGTGGCAACCATCCCAACAATTGACTGCAATACACGTAGAATCCTGACAGCTCGGCTTCAATGCCCTTGGGGACGATCATGCTCAAGTACAGTTTCTCACTTGGATAAAAAGATCCGAGTCCGAGCCCAACAAAGAGTGCCCAAACGTATCCAATGGGTTTGACATTGTCTTTGGTGAGAGTGAGGGCTCCAATGATGCCGAGTACAAAAAGGAACATCATGGAGAATCGGAAACTGATACTGGGATTGGTGCACCGGGTAATGGCTTGGGAGACTAGTCCACCGGGTACCATGCATACGAGTACGACCAAGAAGAAGATGCCGAGTTCGGTTCCGGACAATCCGAGTTTGTCACTCAAAAAGACAACTGACACGACGGTAAAGGCATTGGCTCCTGGTTCAGCAAAAAGAATCCCGAGCAGATACCATCGAATACTGCGCTTGTAGTGTTTTTGAATGCGTTTGGCAGTTCTCCAGTTTTGCTTGAATCCTTGCAATAAGAGCCACTGTCCTGGTTCGAGTGTATGTCGTGCGGGTACTTTGGGCATCATGCGCCAGGCCACTGTAAAGGCGATAATAATGTTGACCGAGTTGATTCCTTGACTGACTTGTGCCGTTATAACGTCATTGAACGAGAACGCCATGGATATGCCAACAATGACAAGGAGAAAGAGTGCTTGTGATCCGAACTGTACCATGGTCCAAGTGGAGCTGAATCTAGTCATTGTGAGTGTGGATACTTCTCTTTTGATTTCCGGCATGTAGGCAAACGTGGAGCACACTGCATGAAGACAAAATAGTGTAGAGTTAGATGGAGAGAAGAAGGAGAGCAAGCATGGTATGGCATATATTGAGATGTACTCACTCTGCACCTGATAAAAGAACCCCGTGATAGCTTGTAGAATAGCCATGGGGAACCAAGTGCTGCTGACAGTCCCAATCTGCACAATTTGAATAAGTGTAATGAGAATGGCCGAGGTGACTCCAATACTCCACCGACGGGGTGTGTAGTCAATAATGGCTCCCACGAGGGGCATCAGACAAGCGGACATGAGTCCTGAAATGACGGCAATGTTGGTGATCAATGCGGAAGGACGAAAGGCTCCAAAGACGCGCTCTTCGCAATTCTCCACCACTTGCATCCCTCCATCTTCTGTTTCTTCCACGCAGCCCACTTCTTCACTAGCTAGGTAGATGAGAGCCGTAGAGAGAAAGATATTGGACATGGCAATGGGACCACGGGCTGTACCAAGCTATGCATAAACAATCATTAGACAACCAAATATACACACACAGAGACAAAGCAAGTAGACATAGGTGAGCGATGCAATGCAATGACTGACTTGAGAGAACCTCCAGGTTGCTAGCTAGGTCAATGCTTGCTAGGCCCCAGCTGGCTATGATTGGTACAGCCTTGCAGACTTACAATATTGTAACCCTTTGCCTTTGTGTGATTTCCAAATCCTCCGCACCATTTGCCAGCATAAGGATCTTCGAACTCGTCTTCCAAGTCTTTTGCGTTGTGGGCTTCGACTTCTTTTTCTTCTTGCTCTTGCTCTTCGTCAGAGCCATTCATCGGCACGGGACGACCACTCGCAGAAGCATTCGCGGTTGACTCCGGCTCTTCCGGTTCTTTCAAAGACGTCGAATTAACTTTGAAGGACGTACTCATGCTGTTGCTTTCGCTCACGCTGGGAATGCAGTTCACTTCGATACAGTTTGCGCTAGCCTCAGGGGTGTTCACCTTCATCGTCTGATCTAACTTAACTATCTATGAGTGACACTGGAGATTCGATTCTGTGCCGACAATTGACTTTTCGTTGATGAGCCCTTCCCCAAGCTGCAAGCAGGTCTGTGAAGCCTCTGCTCTGCTCAGACACCCGCCGAACCATTCTTTGCGCGATTGAATAGAATCCGATTGGCGACGCTCTTTTCCACACTCTGGCACTGTCACAGCTAAATTAATATTTAATTACAACCGTGCAAGGTCAAATCCCACCAGTAACCATCACTAAACGGAATGGTACAAGCCAGTCAGAATGCTTGTAACTGAGGATCCTGCCGGAGATGCATACAGCGTACTGTACTAGTCGTACCTAGTGGTAGAGAGCCAGCAAGATGCCTACAACAAAGGTACGATCTGTTGACTTTCCCAATTACTTGTTCCCAGCCAGAGTCAAGCCCAGCCACAAGATCCCTACATGTCAGGATTCTACAGTACTGCTCATTTGCCCTTTTGGGTCATTGGTTCCCTACCAGTGACACAGAATTTAGCTTGTCTTTCTCTCCTTACTCACTTCTTGTGGGCGTACTGTATCACATCCTTATAACAGCAGCAGCCAAGCCAAGATCCTCTTTGCCATCACACTTACTTCCTTGCTTGGTAGACTACTGTAAATAACAGAGGATGCTTCGGAACGACCAGACGCTAGGAGCCACATGTTGAGAAACCTTTTGCTAGCTAGCTAGCTAGCTAGCTAGGCGTCGCTTTGTGCTCTGCATGCCGTCTTTAGTCAGTGCTCCGTGATTGTCTTAATCCCTGTCAAGGTCACGCGATTGTTGCTGTGACGTCAGAAGCATTATTTGTTCCCCAGAAAGGTTGGAAGAAAATCCTGATGTCATTGAAACCAGAAGATCTATTATTACAAGAGCTACCGGTATCCGTAGCACAAGAGGGCTCTTGTATGATACATGTAGCTCAAGAGAGCTCTTGTAACCGTTACATCAGCTTTCTGCATTGCCTTCGACTTCAACGTTGCTTGCTAGATAGAGACATGTAGTACGAGTAGGCAACTGCATGGCCCAAATGAAATGTATAATATGTAAACTTTGCTTTAGTGGCTGAAAGATGCCAAGAGAGTGTCACTGGTCTTGACGCTGGCTGAAGATCTACGGTACTAGGCTAGCATCGCAGACACGCTTGCGTTACCATCGCTTGGATGGTGCCGTTGTCTCTTAGGGACTTACAGCAGAGAACTTGAAAGCCTTCCTTTTGCCTTGTTCCTCGTGGTAGCGCCCGACTTCAAGAAGTTGGCGTCGAGGTCTTGGCCTGAGCGTGATGGGACGTGCTTCCACAGTCACTTGCTCCCATCATTCTTCTCATGGTAGTGGGTTTCTCGGTTGTCATTGCCATTGGCATCATGGTGAGCCTTGGCAGAAGGCGACGGGTGCAGGGACGAGTGCTATCTTTCTCGATGACGTCTGGGATGTCGGGCAGGAAGACTTTGGAAGAAAAGAAGGCATCCATGTCTTCGACACTCCTGGGGGGTTGTTGAGAAGATCCTTCTGGAGACCAGCTATGCATATGTATACTTGGAAGTTGAGGTGCCATGTTCAGGCGCAGAGACGTGCCTCTTTCGTGGAATGAACAGGGTGTTGTAGAACTTGCCGAGAGCATCATGGCCGTGAGGAATCGTGAGAGCTGCGAATATCGGGCTTTGGGCGCTTTTGATGTTGTGTGTTGTGCGTTGTGTGAATTCTATCTGGTGAAAAAGTGGCCGTTTCATAATCCGTATGATAGATTTGACGATACAGGCTGAATCTAAGCTATCGAGACAAACGCAAGCCCATTCCCGGTAAGACATTCGAATGCGAACCGGAACCTCTTGGAACGTTCCGTGAAAAGACTTAGAGGACCACAATAACCTCAACCTTAAACTCAACTGACATCACTCGGATCGTTCGATCGATTCAAGCCGCTCGTACACCTCTTCTTCTTTTACTATTTTGATCGATACCTCTATCTTTCCTCTATCAAGATGATGCTTCCTCCTCTTCTTTACAGCGGCTACTCCTCTTAACAAAGGCTACTACTCACCACCATGACAGTCTCCTCTTGATTGGCTAGGCTTGAAAGTGGCAGCGGCAGCGAGTCGAGCGATCGATCGGCTGACGGATCGATTCGGTCGATGACTTCTTTCACGGAGCGACCATGATGCCTCCTCTTCCACAGAGTGACAGACGACGCCTCTACCGCTAATGCAACAACAAGACTACTACTTACTACTACTAGAAACAACAAGCGATGGACACAAGCGTCTTCCGTTCGACGGATCCGTTCGACGGATCAATTGCCTCACGGAGCCTCTGTTACGGAGCAACCACAGGATCGCTCCACGGAGCCATGGAATGGCCGTGAGCCTTTGACAGTGCTACTACTATTGCTGAAAGGCAGCTACACTACTTCTGCTGTGACTGATTACAAACATGAAAATCTGCCAATTTTGTGGCCATCAAGTCAACAATCTCCTTTGAATCTTTGGGATGGGTGCTCCAGTCTTCATGCAAGCCACCCACTCCTCTACCAGCTCTACAGTGCAGATTGAGTGCTGAGAGTGAAGACGGACCTTTCCCATGGAGAAATCCATGGCAGAATGACAACAAAATGGAATCCAAGCCTGATTTTTCCTTGAGGCCCCATAGAAAAGCTTGGAGATGGCCCAAGATTTTCAAGCATAGTGTCTGTGAGTGTGTTGGGGAGCTGCTTCTCTAAAATTTGGGCTATCTCATGTATTGGTAAAGCTAATAGCCATTTGGTCAACACTGTTGCCATGGTGGTAAAATTCATTTTATTTGCTTCAACTTTTCTTTGTTAACACTGCATTTCAATGCAGGATTCGCGAAATGACCACTTCTGTTGGAAATGACCGCTTCCGATTTTGGTTTGGCCAAAACGAGAACCCCATTTTGACACCTGTCAGCGGTAAATAAAGTCATCCTGTACAGCACTTCAGACGTCAGACCTTCAGCCGTGGCCAGGCAAACCGGAATACAACGAGAAGCTGACATCACTTCTTGTAAATGAAAGGGCAAAAAGAATCATGTGGTCCTCAAACTAACCTGTGTTTCAGTATTTCCCAATCACCGAAAATGGACTTCAGATAAACGTGTAATTATCATTGTGGAGTTCAGGAAGGTGGGAGAAAACATTTGAGGTTGTAAAGAGTTGGTTTGAGGCGTCTTCCAGCCATGGACGAAATCCTGAAAGGTAACGTACTTGTATCATACTAGCTAGTAGCTGTCCTTGTTACTGCTTATCTCTGCATTTCTACTGGCTAGGATTACGTTTTGCCCCAACATCTTCTTGTGACTGCTTCCACATGTGCACAGAGCACTATCGGAGATAGCACTTTACAACTACTAAGTAGCAGTACTGTACCCCCGAAAAATGTGTTGACGAATGTCTCTCTCTGACGGTAGACTCTACCGTAATCCATCACGACCGTAAAAGAAGCCCAATCCCTCGTGAGACACCCTCTTTTTTGGAAAGTGCGCCGTCCTCATTCACGGAATACTCAAAAAAATGACTTCAACCATGAAGATTTGAGCGCGAAAAAGTCCTCATTCACGGAATACTCAGGTGATTGCAACCACGAAGACAAAGCAAGTACAGTAAACACGTCAGCGAGCAGTCAGTGGTGTGAGGTTTTCCAGTCGCGAGGAGGTTTGAGGAACAGATTTGAACCATGTTTCGGTCCCTGGGACTGGCCAACTTTGCTTGCTCCGGGTGGTAAGTGATGAAGACATCCTTGTGCTAGTGGGGTGTTGCTGATGGGGCTGCTACCAGACACAGCCTAGCTAGGGCACAGACAAAAGTGTGTGGCGTACGGTATGTTGCCTTTGCTTTTGCCCTTCCAGGTCTAGGACTAATAATTACTTCGGAGCTGCAGAGTGTCTCCGGATTCACAATACTATAATTGGCTTCGGTAGTAGCTCATCTTGCTTGTGACAACAGCTTCATTTCTACATATTTCACTTTCCTCCAAGTGCTACGTCTGGCACATCCAGCCTTGAAATTAGTCACCAGGCATGCCTAAACTTCCACCTCATCCTCAATACCTCCCAATGGATTGGCACCTCTACTTCAGGTGCAGCCCAGTTTTGGGGCCTGACAGGATTTTTGCCCCCAACATGTCAGGCAAGTCCTGTTGGGAGATGTGCTTATACAACCTGCTTCGATCCTTGAATTCTCCTGGGGTGCATAATGCTGAATTTATCAATGATTCGCTTGGGTAGGATGACACTGAAAAAGCTCCAAAGTGCATCAATGATCTATACCAGTAGGAAATGGCAATGATGAGTTGTCATTGGTGAAAGATCAGATGAAACATTTAACAGATGCCAATGGACGATACGTACAGTGGGAGGGTTGCATGCAAAAAGGCTTTCTAGCAACTGGGGATAGCAATCTTCCATGGTACCCATAGCTTTACCTGCTCTCTTCGTGTATTCGCGATTGACCTTACTCATACTAACACCTTCCATATTGGCAATTCTGAACCATAGGAACGAGAACATGAACAACAAACAAGTCAGAAATCTTGCCAGCCAGTTGAAGTTACTGACAGAACAATCAAATCATACTCTACATACCGGACGGACTTGGTTAGACGTCCTGTAGTCCTTGTCACATAGTCAAGCCATTGGAAGGACCACTCTGAAGCATACACGAATACACTCATCCAGTAGTCCTCAGTCAGATTCTCCGCAACCTTGTGTTGGTTCATACCAGCAAGTTTCAAAAAGGCAATGACTCCTCGTCTGGGATTAGGATGAGTGTACACCAAAGCATCTTCTTCCAGAAGATCATGAAACTCCTTGACTTTGCCATCCTTGACTTTGTGGGGTGGTACCTGACGAATATCCTCTTCATCCAACTTGTGTTCTTTGCGAAACACAAGAGTGTGCTTTGCAGCATCAATGCAGCTTGGCTCTTTTTGTGTGACAGCCAGAACCTCAAGATCCACAAATCATCATGCTTGGATTCATCATAGAGTGGATCATCCACCAATGCTGCCTTGATTTTGGCAATCTTTTCACCATGATCCTTTATCAAAGCCTTGACTGATTGACGATCATCCTCAGGGCAAACAGGATCGATTGGGTCGGCAATTGCCTCTGAAATTCCATTCATCCATGGCCACGATGTCATCTTGTTCTGTTGTAGCACTATATTAATTTCTGGATACACAATCTTTTGGTTGGCTGTTTCTGGGTAGATCTAGCTGGCCAAAATAATGAGATCGCCCCAAGCAAGCACGGATGTTTGTTGTCAACGGAGGGTTCACGAGAGACTCGGTCATGAGTCGAACTCAAACCCTATCTAGGATCGAGTCGCGAATAAGGCTAAGAGCCGTGTATTGCAGAAGGTTTCCGATCAAAGTTCCAAGCAATATTAGCCCAGTTCGCAAGAAGTTTCGACCCAATTGAAGGAAGCAAGGTGGCCATAACCATTCATGCTGCTCCCTTAGCACCCCAGTCCTGGTTGGAATGTCGTACAGGCTGAATAACAACAAGCGACTACTACTACTACTAATACTAGAACAACAAGCGATGGACACAAGCGTCTTCCGTTCGACGGATCCGTTCGACGGATCAATTGCCTACGGAGCCTCTGCCATGGAACGGCCGTGAGCCTATGGCACTGCTACTACTAATGAAACAAGCGGCAGCTTCTCTACTACTGCCTTGAGTGATCGACTGACTACCAGCATGAATTTTGCTCTATTTTGTGGCCATCAAGTCAACAATTCTCCTTTGAATCTTTGGGATGGGTGCTCCAGTCTTCATGCAAAGCCACCCATTCATTTGCATGGCTCTACAGTGCAGATTGAGTGCTGAGAGTGAAGACTGGGGGACCTTTCCCATGGAGAAATCCATGGCAGAATGACAACAAAATGGAATCCAAGCCTGATTTTTCCTTGAGGCCCCATAGAAAAGCTTGGAGATGGCCCAAGATTTTCAAGCATAGTGTCTGTGAGTGTGTTGGGGAGCTGCTTCTCTAAAATCTTGGGCTATCTCCCTGTATTGGTAAAGCTAATAGCCATTTGGTCAACACTGTTGCCATGGTGGTAAAATTCATTTTATTTGCTTCAATCTTTTCTTTGTTGGAACCATGCATTTCAATGCAGGATTCGCGAAATGACCACTTCTGTTGGAAATGACCGCTTCCGATTTTGGTTTGGCCAAAACGAGAACCCCATTTTGACACCTGTCAGCGGTAAATAAAGTCATCCTGTAACGTCGTAACCCTGCATTCACTCCTCCACTGATTTAGTGGAGGGATTTAGAGGAGGTGTCTACGAGTAGTGTTGTGTTGGAACGTTGGAACAGATAGATGGACCGCCTGTGACCTGTGACCTGTGACTTGTGACTGCTATCGGTACCGGCCTTTAATTTCCAGCTGGTGCTGCTCCAAGTCAGAATGACCCAATTGAAGACGCACTCAGATCGTGGAGCCCAAAGTATACAAGACGGCAAGGCTGCCAAACACAGATATGACCGTGGTTTGCAATCCAGAAATAATAGAGTGACGTCATCGATGAAAGATTTCGAGAAAGATCCGATTGAATCATTCCTCAGGACCCCAACACAACCACAACGATGACAGCTGCCAGTGTGCCACAGCTCCCCTTGACTCATCCTGCAGCGCTGGATGCTCAACATACCCAGGGGAAGGGACACTCGGAGCCGAGTGAGTAAGCTTGAAGGCGATATTAGAATTTCATAGCTTACCCCCGTGTGGGTCTGAAGTATAAAGTGAAGTTGAGTTTACGCGGTGTGAAAGTACGTGAAGGACTAATCAATCGGAGAATGCGGTGAACAGATATTTTTAGGGTTAAGATTATTTTGCTGCTGCGCTGCCTAGCATATGTGTGACTCCGTCATTTTTTGTTTTCGTTTTTGGTTTTTTTGTAGAGTCTTGGAATTTGGATTGAGTGATTGCACAAGATATGGATACATTGATTGTTGTCTGGGGTGGTAACAATTCCATTTCTGCAACTTAGGAACGTCACCATTTTGGAATCCTATGCCCATTGGGCATGAGTTTCAAGGACGCGTGAATGTGATTGCGTAGGCATTCTGGGAGCATGGGTTTTTAGAGGTCGCTGGAATACTTCATAGTGTCTGGTAGCACATGCAAAACAACAATTCACTGTGGATATCACGATCCGTTTCAGTAGGGACAAGGTCAGTGAGACTTTCATCAGGGGTGAGTTGTGTGACTTTAACAATGGCACTTTTGGCAAAAATCGGGAAGTTAGTCTTCAATTTGGGGTCATACATGGCACGAACAAGGCCAGGGGCATCATCAGTTTCCTTTTTGAAGAGGTATTTGAAAGCTTCATGGCCAATAACTTCGAGCACTTTATTAGCAATAGCTTCGGCCTGCTCCACAATCCAGAGGGATTCTTCACTAACAGATGAAAAGTTTTCGACTGGAATGGTGAAGGTAGTCCACATGGAAAAGAAATAGTTAGTGCGACCTTTGCCTTGTTTGTCTTCATAATTTTCAATAGATTGCTTATTGCGGGAAGGATCATTCACGTCCACAGTGTGGCAAATAGCAAGCTTTTTGAATGCCTCATTAATCGTGATGCTCTCATCCGGGTAGGAGTTGGTCCAAAGCTTGAGGCATGGTGCGACATGTTCCACTTTGAAATACCAGGGCTGGCCATTGTACTGATCAATGGGTTTCATGACCAGGCATGCAATAGTGGCTGTTGAAACAGTCTTGACAAAGACTTCCAATCGCTTGCGTCTTTCTTTCTTTTCTGCAGAAGCATAAATTTTTTCAGCCATCCTTTCAGCCTCAGACGGTGTTGGTTTGTTAGGAGTTACAAGACGAACTTGAGCAGCAGCCGTGGGAGCGGGTTTCACCATGGTATCAGCAAGTGTTTTGAGCTTCTTTTGAGCAGTTACAAGATGAACAAATGCATGTTTTTTCTTGATGAGGGACTTCCACATTTTATTATACTTCTCAGCTTTCTCAACTCCAGTGATCAAAATGGGCTTATTGCTTTTATGCATCTGGAAGACAAAATGTTCCT